TGCCACAGTTGTTTTAGTGAATCGTTGCAGGTGTTGAGTGAATCACACAGTCATTTAAAAAAAAAAATCTCGCTTCTCCATTGATTTTGTTTGTCGGAAGCCAGCTGGGAAGGTGGTAGGTGGTGATCATGTGATCCCAGGGTGCCAAAACCATTATAAATCCCTGCCAAGTGCCCAGGTTTTGATCACGTGACCACAGGAATGCTGCATTGATTGTAAGCACGAGGACTAATTCTAAGTTACTTGTTTCATTGCTGTTGTAGTTTTGCTGGCTAAAAAAATACAGGCAGCCCTCAACATACAACCACAGTTGAACCCAAAATGTATGTTAGTAGGTGAGAAATTTGTTACATGAGTTTTGGCCCCTGTTACAACTTTTCTTGCCACATTTGTTAAGTGGATTGCTGCGGTTCTTAAATTAGGAATATGGTTGTGAAGTGAACCTGGTTTCCCCGTTGACTTTCCTCGTCAGAAAGTTGCAAAGTGGGATCACGTGACCCGGGACACAGCAACCATCATCACTGTGAGCCCGTTGTCAAGCATCCGAATGTAAATCATGTGACTTTGGGGGATGCTGCAAAGGTCATAAGTTGGGGAAATGGTCATAAGTCACTCTTTTCAGTGCCCTGGTAACTTCCAGTGGTCACTAAGCAAACAGTTGTAAGTTGAGGACTACTTGCAATTGTAAGTACAGGGCTACCTGTGTTGGCAAATACCTCTTCAAACTACCAAGGTAATCATGATCAGAAGAGACCGAATCAGAATTTTGTAGTGGGTAGGAGGACTACAGCATTCAAGTCAGATTCAGTTCCATAGTGTGTAGAAATTTCATCTTGGTAGAGCTGGGAGGTCACGTACAACATAGGAGGGAATCTTTCTTCTGAAAGATTTTCAGTGTGTACAAGCTATTCTGTGCCTTTCAAACTTTTCTAGGCGTCTTTGGATCAGCCAACCCAGACAGTTGTGATGCATCGAACAGAGCCCACCACCCAGCAGAACCTGGCATTGCAGCTGGCTGAGAAGCTGGGCAGCCTTGTGGAAAACAATGAGAGGGTCTTTGATCAGAAGCAGGGCACTTACGGTGGCTACTTTCGGGGTAAGTTAAAGCCCAGGTGTCACTGGTACTTAACTATTTTTCTCTTCACAACACAAAAACACACTCGTGTCTGTACTTTCCTTTACCAAGGGAAAAAATGTTCCAGCGGTTGTGGAACAAAATCTGAAAATATTTTGAAAGTTTACTAAGTATCTTATTTTTCCTACTATTTTCCTAGTATCAAGGCATGAAGCCTCCATTCTTTTCATTATAGGATTCAAGTTCATCTTGTTTTAATATCCCTCCAGCCAGGGAAAGTACAGTTCATTGACCATTTGTGCTCTCTTCCTCCTTCCTTCCCCCCACTAATGCAATCTGCAAAGCCAAAATGATATTCATTCCGTGGCCGTTTATTGTTTGCTTGTCCCTGATTCATATTTTGCTGTGAGTTCCAAAATTGTTTCTTTCTGTTTTGTTCACTGTCTCCTCCTTTGCTAGTACCTTTAACCCCTGATCAGCTCTTGTCTTATTTTGCAGACCAAAAGGATGGCTATCGTAAGAACGAAGGGGGCTACATGCGGCGGGGAGGATATCGGCAGCAAGAACGTCAGAGCAACTACTAAACCCAGAGCCGCTTTTATTCAATTAATTGGGAGGGAGGGAGATTACCAGTTACTATAATTCAAACAGGTCCAATAAAAATAACTTACTGAAAAGGACGTCTGTGTAGTGTCCTTGGGAATAGGCCAAGTAAATTAATTAAAGAGAACGACAAGACTCCATTGCATTCCCAACCTTCAAGAGTTACTATTTGGCCCTAGAATGAAAGAATGACCGTAGCATGGAATTCTGAGAAATCTTAAGACTGACATTCTTTTCATTTTTAGCATTAATAGGATCAGAAATGCAAAGATAAGGAATTTCTCTCCAGCGAAGGTTTATTAAAGATGGTATTCTCAAAAATCAGATCTGAAGAAACAACTCTTAAGTAACCCTGGAGCATTACTCTATGCAGCTCTTGTGTTCAGTGTATCTGAAAGTAAATAAACCATCTGTGTGAGGCATGACTGTTTGGCTTTAGAATAGTTTTGCTAGCTTTCATTTTTTTCTGGAATGGCAGGGAGGCAAACCATAATGTAAATTGCAGGGATTTTTTCCAATACAATCTTGCTGCCCTGTCCATTTTATCAAGTTGGCTCTAAAATCTATGAAAAATGGTTACTATTTTACTCATCATATAAAGTCATCCTCAGCAAGTCCCTTGAAATTCACAGCCTTATGTTATTTGGATGATGGTTGGCGAGTGGCTGATTTAGCAACAGACAACAGTCTTATGAGTGGGACAGCCATCTGTTGGTAGAAAAAGTCATCCAATAATTTCCCTGGTTCATATGGAGATTTAAACAGAAATCTCTCCAGTCAAAGTCCATCTGTTACAATATTAGACTTCATCCACATTACTTATTAAGTACCACTAGTTTATTTGTTGCACCCATATGCTTGTACAGTACATAAAAAAGTGACATAGGCTTTGTATTTTTATCCTCCACTCCAAATGGCCATTATCTTGCCTGCTGTCTCCGTTGCCTTTACCACAACATACCAGCCATGCAAAAACTAAGGCTTTTTCAAAACCTCTACTTACAGCCTAGAGAAAATTGAGGGTCTGTCTTTCAGCTTACTTGTAACATTCTTATACTGCTCTTGAAGCAAGTTCTCCAGTAGTTATTAAACTTAGAATTCAGTAAAACGCAAAAATACATTTCCCAATAAGCATCATGTCAATACAGTGTTACACTGGCAAGTCAGCCAGAGCTGTTTAAAAAGCATTTTAAAGCCTTCAAAACCAAAAGAAAAGGATAATGAAAGCTAAAATGGCAAATGTGTTAAAATCATATTATTAAAAGCCAAAGACTCCATTAGAGTTTTCAACAGGTACTAAAAGAATTTTAGAATATCTGTAGAGAGTGAGATACTTGAGACAATATGTTTTCTTGATGGGATACCACCAAGAAAGCATGTTGATAATGGGGTGCTTTTATTTCTTGATGTTGTGTGTGTGCCATTTTATTTTAATTACCTTGGGAGGTAGTTAAGGCAATCATCCGCACAATGGAATTGTGACAGCTGGAACCTTTAACCAACATGGATATTAAGAGTGACAGTACTATGAACTGCAGCTCCAGCATACTTGGAGAACAGATTTAGAAAAAAAAATTCAACTATAAATTCAACTTCTCATTAAGTCAGAACTCAATTGATTTTGCATGTAATTTGAATTTCATTGCCATGGGGGACATTTGATCCTTTTGCCCACTGAGTGGCCATTTCCTTATCTGGTCCCAGAGATCTTGGCAGACGCAGCATTTAGCCATCCCATCGAGGAGCATCAAAATCACACTCTTCTGTCTAATTTTGCTCCATTTTCAAGGTTCTCTTGGGTTGGGTTTCTCAAAATAAAACAAGGCCTTCCATTTTTTTCCAAGTAGCCACAGAATGAAGACTTTTTGTATAATTTTATTAAAGAATTTAAAAGATGTAAATTAATACAAAGTAAGATGCAGTAAGAAAAAAAGAGGAAGCTAAAAGTGCAAGAAAGGAGTGGGGGGAAGATACAAAGAAGTAGTTTCCAAACTGCAATAGTTTAATGTGCAATGATAAATTTATCTCTTACTTTATAGTTACAACATAATTCTTTTTATATTCTGTCTAATTATCAAAATCATAAGTCATACTTTTTTTGTTTCATACAAAAGGCTAGAAGAGGTTTCAATTTACCAATAAACACAGATATTGTTGGTTTTTTAATCAAAGAAGTCAATACAGCCATCTCAGCAAGTTCAATCACTTTCAGCAACCTCCATTGTGGAGAATGCCAAATCTTTCCATCTTTGGGTGTACAATAATCTTGCTTGTTTTCTTATCATGTACAAAAACTAAAAAAAAGAAGAATTTGGAGATGATCAGACTCTTTAGGAATGAATTCCGGGAGTCGAAGTCCATCTTAAAAATTGCACAAAGGTTGGGAAACCCTGTTTTAGAGGCACCATCTCTCTGCTTGCAGCTAGCCTTTTTCAACCTGATGCCCACCAATTTTGTTGAATATTAATCAGTAAAACATTTTGACTTTGTATCTTCTGAGTGCAAAACAGAACATTGATATTTTGATCTTATTAGAAGTGTTCTGAGCTTGAAACGGGGGCTGGACAATTCTAAAATGGTCAGTAGAGCATAATTCTGGCAAAGTCGAAACAAGTTGCTTCAAACTCAAAACAGCCATCTCAGGTTCAAAATGTTTTAAATTTCAAATGGTTGTGTGCACTTGACAGTTTCAATTTTGGTTTGCATAAATAATTTATAAAACAAGACAAATTGCAGATATTCCATTACAAAAAATAATTATCAACAGAGCATTCTCCCCAGATTGTTAAGAGATGCTGACACTGGTTCTCATCTGCCATATTTGCAAAGCCACCAGTTTGGAAACATCTATTATTAAATTAATGGGGGGAAAGGTACAATAGAGAATTCCAAATGTGTAGGGTCCAAATCATCGTGAGGAGAAGAAATTGAATCTATTGATAATAAATACTTGAGGATCAACTCATGAAATGTTTTTTTTTATTCTTGGAAGTCCTGGTAAATTAGCCAATGATGAGAAATGCTCTGGAATGTAGCTTGGCTCTGTCTGGAGGAACATCAGTGCCTATTTCTGCTCTAAAGAAACTAGAATCTCATGAATCTCTTCCCTAATCTGTGGCCTTCAGATATTTTGGTCTTAACCTTCCATAATTTCTCAGCTAAGATAATCGCTAGGAATGATAGAAACTGAAATCTGGAAACTACCAGGTTCAGAAAAGAATAGAATAAGCCAATAAGGTTGAAATGCCAGGAATCTTGATGTTAATGAATGACTTCTCCATAGTGGGTTTTCTGCCCTAGTGAATTGCTTCCCACTTACCCCCAATAATGTGCTGAAACTGCACCTTACTGGCCTGTGTTTGCACTCTTTCCTCCACCCTCCCCATCTTTCCCGCTTGCTCCCATACACAATGGGATAAATGCCAGATGCTATGTTCTCAAAGGTGGCACTGTGACCTTCAGACTGAGCTGGTGGCATGCTGCATTGTGGGGCTCGTTTCTTGCACCGGAGGGTATTAACCCTCTGGGGGGCTCAGATGACAATCCACAAATCCTTATCTTCCAAGCCAGCCCCTGAAACTGCTTCAAAGAAACCCCAATCTTCGTATAATTCACTGAACCTGGATGATGGGAAGGTTTTCCGCCTCAAGACCAAATGGGAACTCACTCGTGGACTGCTTGTCTTCTTTCTCTGTTCTTCTCCATGGCTGGTGCAGAAAGCACCAAAGGTAAGATTTTGACTCCTGATCTAACCTATCATCCATTTTGTCTCAATCATCATTTGCAGTCTTGCAGTATGGTTGGAAGGATGTATCAGAGATTAATTTCAATGATTTTATCAGGAGATCAGTTTAATCTTGGTTTATTAAATTTTGGAAGTCCCATTATCTTTCCATGTAAGTATGACCCTTGAATTTTCCCCAATGACTTAAACTGAGTTCTTTGTTGATTGGGGAAGAGATTAGAGTTTTTAGAATAAATTATGAACTGAGTAATTTGTGTAAAATAAGTCACAGATTATTTGTGATACTCGCACAAATGATTAAAGATAGTTATGACATCTTCTTGCATAGATTGCAGGTTAATAATTGGTGTAAAGACCGACAAATGGCAATTGGGGGATGTTGTTTTGGTGGACTAAAGTCCATTGTCCAGATGCACAAATTATATTCTTATTGGAAGAAATTATCTGTAGTCATTAATTTGTTAACATGTAATCTATAGTTCATCTGTTATGTTTTTAGGTATCTCAAGATGGACTGCCACACTGAGCCTACAAAAATCCGGATAATCACTAGATGGAGGAAAAGGAATGTAGGAAACGCTCCTTGTTTCCATCTAATGGTTATTTGGATCTGGTAGTCTTACTCAAGGTTCTCTTTCCAAGCAAATACAGCTTCCCATCTGGAAATTGCCCACATATCCTATATTTCTCTTTGTCTTCCAAGCTCCTTTCTGTCACTCGACGCATTCTGGGACGTCGTCTCTGGAGTTCTGCACTTCGTTTTACTTTGTATGGGCAGTTTGTGGCTGGTGAAACCCACAAAGAGATCAAAGAAACACTACAACGACTCCAACATTTGGGGGTGCGCCCTCTCCTTGCTGTCCCCATAGAGGAAGATGTAGGAGACGAAAAAGAAGGGTGAGTATAGATGAAGAAAGCATAATCCAGGTAATCTATCAAGAGAGTTTTTGCACAGATGGAAAAAAAGAAGATAGTGGTCTGATTTGTGTGCCAATTCTTGACCAGATGACCACTGAATCTTATTTCAACCTTATTACGGATGTGCTTTTCACAGCATCTGAGCTTTATATAGTTGCTTGGAAGATAAATAACAACTGAGATGGTAAACCTATGTCTCTTGAGAAAGTCATCTTACCCTACTTAATAGAGGTAATCTGGGAAAAATCTGGAGAACAGAGGGATTGTACTAGAAGAATACATATTTGCAGAAATAGAATAAAATTCATGGGACCGGGAGAATATTTTATGTGATCCTATTTGTGGATTTATTTTAGAATCTTTGGAATTCTGTTTTGATCATGGAAGATATACACACGGCAGCTCTGAATTTTTGTACCATTTTGATTCCAGTTCTTAAAAAAGTTGTGCCTATGGATCCATTAATCTTGCCTCTATCCCCCCAATATTTATGTGTATTATAACTATTCTAGTAATAAATAAGAGTGAATCTCATTTCCTGTATTACACCATTCTTCAAACATCTACCATAGCTGTGAGATGATGGTAGATGTTTTCCAATCCATCTGGTGGACATTGGAATGGGGGAAGATTGCTTTAAGGTACAAGAAATTAGCTAGCTGGCAGTTTGTGGCTTGTAAATCAATGAGGGGGTGTGTTATCGTGATAGGGAAAGCTCACACATCTCTTGAAAAGGTGAAAAGAGTCACACAAGTTTGCAGCTTAAGAGAAACATGATTCATACATCCTCTTCCGGTGTTTCCAGTATGTTATTAAGATCATACAGAGTATCTACAACCTTGGCTTTCTGTTTGAGGAAGTGGTTATCAGGTCTTAAGGGTAATTTCTCACACTTTTAACTACAGTAAGCTTTGATGTAATACATGGAACCCTGTTACTCAAAACTGGGAAAAAAATAAGACTAATTAGATTTTTCTCAGTTGAGTGAATAGAAAGTCCAATTGGTCCAAAGATCAGTTTCCCAAATGACCAGCCAAATAAAGCCTGTCTTTTGTGCAGGAATACCCTTATCTTCCTCCAGCAATTTTGAGTTTTGCTGGGAGATTTGAAAACTCTGTTGAATTTTCCTGGTTAAGTATTATTCACAGTCCGATAATTAATTAATGTAAATCACCACTATCGCTATATGCGAGACTTCCATAATCTGTTTCCCTCTCAAGGTCTTAAGGCTTCTTCAGAATTTACAATCAGCAGATCTCCAAGGAGAGTTACTTTGGTGTAATGTTTAAGGCATCAGACTAGAAACTGGGAGACCATGAGTTCTAGTGTCATCTTAGCTGGGTGACCTTGGACCAGGCCTAAACTACAAAAAAGAAGGCAATGGCAAACCATTTCTGAAATCTTGGAAAAAAACCAAAAACTGCAGGAACTTCTTCAGGCAGTCATCAGGAGTCAAGATTGATTTGCAAGTACATCAACAAACAAACAAACAAATATCCCCAAGATGGCCATGGGTGGACTTAAACTCCCAGAATACCCCAGCCAGCATGGGAATTCTGGGAATTGGAAATCCACCTATCTTAAAGTTGCCACAATTAAGAAACACTGCTCCAAGCATGATAAACAGATGCAACACGCTAGCATAGCATATACATGTGGAAATGAATCCAGATAAAAGGGTGGCATTAGATAGATAAGACCTGGTGAGCAACCAATAGAAGTACTGAAACCCAGATCTAAAAGGGTTCCAGTGCCATCCTTCTGCTCTCTCCTCACCAGGGAAGGGTGGTATGACAAGAATGCCCAGTCCATGATCACTTGCCTGGATCTGTCAGTGGGGGGTGCTCCCAATCCCATGATGCAACTGAAGGTGACGGCCCTGATGGCAGCTGAACTCTGTGTGAGTACTGTAGGATACATCAAGCAGTAGCTGTGGGGAACACCAAATTAGTTTATATTTTAAAGGCAATATTAACACAATTAGTTTTGCTCCGCAAACATCAAACCCAGGCAGTTGGCTTTACCAAGTTCTCCATCCCCTCCCCCCTCCCCCGCTCCAGAAAATAACTTAAAATTAAAGAGAAGCTGTAAATACAAGATTCCCCATTGCGACACTCACTGCTAAGGCCTGGCACATGGAACACGACTCCCAAACAAGGATTGGCTGAGGTGGCCAGTTTAGCCATGTCTGCTGTGTGCCATTATTAGAAGCCGTGACCCTGCCCTTTTCATGAAAGGGCCCATGGGATATTAAGTACTTCTTCCCAAAAAGTGGATGGAGACAGTGTATTCCCCCCAAATGAGATCTTTGACTCAGTTACCGTACTACCAATGGGCTGAATGGGTTAAGAATATTATGGCAGTGTTTCTCAACCTTGACAAGTTTAAGACATGTGGACCAATTCCCAGAATTCCCCAGCCAGCATAGCTGAGAGTTGAAGTCCATGGGTCTTAAAATCGCCACAGTTGAGAAGCACTATATTGTGGGAATGGAGTTGTTATCTCTCTTCATTCTCATAACTAAGGGAAAACAAAATATAAACTGAAAAATATAATTATAGGTAGTCCTCGACTTATGACTAGTTATTTAGTGACAGACTTCCCTGTGGACACTTACTACCAGGATTCAAAGTTTCAACAGCTGCCCCCTCAACAGTCACATGACTACATTAGACAACCTGCCTGTATTCACTGTCATTGTCAAGGTTCTACAGTCACGTGACTATATTTTACAATGGTTTTGCCAAACCATTGGGTATTCTCTTAGTGACTACCCCAAAAAGGACATAAAATTGGGTCAGTCTCATGAGTGATCCAATTTACAACCGTCACAACTCACGACTTTAATGGGCAGGCTCTATTATGGTTGTAATTCAAGGACTACCTACAACAAATACCCTGACCTCCCACTTACAATCTAAACTATATTTATACAATAAAGTTGCAAAATTAATACATGATACAGCATGCTTATTTTTGCCAATGAAAAATATGTACATAGTTCTGTCTAGAATGGAGGGCTTTGAGTAAAATAAGATCCTTCTTATACAGGGAACAGAAAGTTGCCAAACTATGCAGCTTTGCACTGCAAGTGAAAAATGTAATCTCTGAAAGTTCATGATGAGTTCATTTCTTTTTTTATTAAATTCAAACTAAATTCAGTACTTCAGGAAAAATAACCCTGTAGTCTCACTTATTGGGACTGGCAACTCTGTCACTGTATGATATGGTTGTGAAACCAAACACTATGTGACCGTGATGGATTAAACAATATCATTTCCCATTTCCTTATTAAGTGAATCAACGTGAGTTGTTAAGTGAAACAACACCAGATCATGATTTGCAATTTTACTGCTGGCTTCTCCATTGACTCTCCTTGTTGAAAGTTGACTGTGAAGCACCTAAATATCAGTCATGTGTCTATGGAGATAGCTGCAATTTTCATAAATGTGAGGACTGATTGTAAAAACTTATTTTTAGTGCCATTTTAAGTTTGAATGGTTGGTAAATAGGCAATTGTTAAACAAAGTTTACCTCTAATCCAACACAGTTAGTCCTCATATAGCAACTACTTGAGACGATGACCCTTCACAAATACAGCAGTATTAAATGCTAGTAAATAATAGTAAAAAAATAATTTTCCAATCACTTATGTCCACTTATGCCAAAAAACAACACATGCCAGAGAGTCACATTGGAGCTGCTGCAAGAGAGAACTTTTATGTAAATGAGACACCAACAACCGGTGATCTTTGTAACATGTCTTAGTCTCATGGATCCCTTAGTGAGCATTTTGTTTACTGACCATTTTGCTGGAATAAATTGCGGCTCCTAAACAAGGAGAGGCTGTAAGTGTGCTAGATTTCAGCTTACAAGAAAGGTCAATAAACCTGGAAATAAATTTTGCAAAGCTATAATACAAGTAGTCCACATTTATTGACAGGTTTAATGACCATTTGATGAACGGTTGTAATTGTTCAAAGTTACAACAACACTGAAAAAAGTCACTTACATGTGTTTTTCACATTTACTATCATTGCAGCATCCCTGTGATCAGGTTTTCAAAATGTGGATCCTTGGCAACTGGCTCATATTTATGACAATTGCAGTGTCCCAGGATCACATGATCATCTTTTGTAACTTGACAAGCAAAATCAATGGGGAAGTCAGATTCACTCAACAACCATGCTACTAACTTAACAACAGCAGCGATTCACTTAAGAACTTTTTATTCATTTATCCTGATTTCACTGATGGAGAAAAGTCATAAAATGGAGCCAAACTCACTTAACAAATGTCTCACTTAGTGGCAGAAATTTTGGGCTAAATTGTGCTCGTAAGTCAAGGGCTACCTTGACTCTTAAAAAAAAGGAACAGCCGGCATTCTCGTTCCTAATTCTGCAGTATGGGATGAGAATGAAGACATGCACTCTGATTTTATTGGGGATTCATTTATTTTCTCTCTTCATAGAAAACAATCACCCTGTGTTTAGAAAACAAGGAGGGAACATCAGACCTCAGCATTGAAAGAGTCATGGCTGCCATGTCGGGACATGTGAGCAGATCCCCTTTCATGTTTTCTCATCTGTTTCCCTGTTTGCTTTGATTCTACCCTTTTCGATCAATCAATGGACAATGAGTTGTTTTTTAAATGTATATGTTGCCTGTTCTCTTCCATTACCACCAGGAAGTGTCCTTCAGCTGCTTGACCCAAGAAGAAAACCAGCATTTCCAAAAATCATTGAGGCGCCTGAATTCGGTAGCACAGGTACCGAACCAACTAAAGTTTTATACATGATTTTTACATTGGTTTAGGGCAGGCCATGAAATAAAAATATAACTTGTTCTAAAAACAGTATTAAAGTTTGAATTGCAAAGATAAAACCTGTGTTGCCAACAACAGATGGAATACTAAGGCCTAATAATTAGGCTGGGCAGGTTTTTTTTAAACTCAGCTGTTATCCTTTGGGCAGAGACTTAACCTTATAGCAAATATCAGTGATCATATATGTTCCTTGCCAGACATTAGCAATCAGGATCAATCCTGACTTTATTGTTAGGTGGAATGAGCTTCCATGGTGGCATTTAAAAAGTGAAGATGGCAACCACAACCCCATGCTCAGAGTCCTGCCCCTTCAATATGTATGTTGCACTTAATTTTTTGAAGCCTCTTGCCCTTCTCTCTTGTGTGCAGAAGGTTAAAAAACTGTCAGCTTTTTATTCATTTATCCTGATTTCACTGATGGAGAAAGTGATTGTGAGAGTCTATTTCCTGCCATGCTCGTGAGTTCATCGAAGCCTGGCACTCCACAAGCAATTCCATCGACAGACACATTGGCCTATAACCAGCCTATGAACCCCTCAGAATCCAAATCAACTGCACAGACAAGCAGAGACAGCACTGACCCTCAACTAACCCATGCAAGCCCCCCACTATCAGCAGTTGACCTCCCAATGACCCTGACCTGATGTAAGCTCCCCATCACAAGACCCATCACAAAACCCTCTACACCTGAAGCCCTTATAAACAGAAGAACATTGACACCAACATCTCCTAAATTCTGCTGAAGATGTTACCTAGCCTGGTAACAAAATGTTCAGAAACCAACCCACAAGCTCAGAGAACGAAACTTCACCCTCATCCTACACCTGAGCTACAGATATTTGTCACTATTGCAATTGTCTACCTCAGTAGCCAGAATGTTTTTCAGTCTTGGGGTAATGTCCCTAAATTCCTTGGGTTGTAGGGTGGCATCCATCTGAAGATCATATAAAAACCCAGATTCAGAAGCAAAACAAAGAAAAATGGTAATATTTTTAATACACAGAAGAATCCCAATTGATTGCAGTTGCAATGAGAAATTAGAGAAACTTCTGGTTTGAACAGGATGAGACAGGGCTTTTTTTTGTCATAAAACACCCAGAATGGAGTTCCAGCACCTTTTTTGGATGGAACCTTGTAGGGTAGGCAAGGCGGGTTGTATAATGTGTGTGAGTTCCAGCATCTTTTTTTTTTTTTTTACAAAAAAAGCACTGGGATGAGATGTGTGGCTGACATGGGCTCTTTCCCCACTGTTGAGTTCTTGCCCATTCTTGAGTCAGCAAAGAACTCTCCAGCATAAAATTTGTGTCCCCCTTTGCTGATCTTTATCCTGCACCTATCGCCTTTTCTTTGGGTTGCTGCCACATATCCTGATGACATGGGTATAAGTTGTGTGAAGCAAAGCAGTTGGTGTTGCCCTCTTGCTTTCTGAATGTCACCAGCTGGTGGGAAACCATCCAGAAATTAGGATGAGATGGATTAAATTTGGTGAGATAGCAAGGTTTCACAGATGGTTGGCTTTATTTCATATATTAAAGAAGGGAACCGCAAAGGAAAAGAAGCAGAGGTGGCTACCTCTTTCAACATAGAGAAGAAGAAAAAGAATGGCAACAGGGAAAAATGCCAATAATTTGAAGAAAGGCGATGTGCTTAAACTAGCATAAAGTGGCCAACAAAAAATAATAGGGAACCAATCACTTATTGCACACTTTAAAACTATTGTGGGTAGCTAAGTTAAAGGGGGGAAATATGACTTTAAAATCAGAAGTTACAAGAATGAATTAAACCTCTCTGACACAAGGACTGAAGACAAGGTGAAGGCAATCTTCAACTTGAATGCCTTCCAGAGCTGAACTATCATCCAGCCTAACCAGAATGGCCAACTTCATTCTGCGAATTGTAATTCAAAATATTTTCAGAGCACAATATTACCTATTTCTGTTTTAGATATTACCAGATTTAATTTCCTTCAGTTAATCAAATGTGTTTTTGCATTTACTAAGCAAGCAGAAATAGGTAAAATAAAACTAGGTGAAGATCAAAAATACTGTATTTGGGCTGCATAAAACCAGATTACCATTAGATGGGAGCAAAGAGACTGATTTTTTTTTTTGTAACTTTGTCAGAAAAAAAGGTGAACATCTCCCACCAAAATATAACCCAGGTTTTAACTAAGTGCATTTAAAAATTATAAATTCTTCTTGTTGGAATACATGTTAGAATGTATTTTGTATTGCAACAACTATAGAATTATTCGACCAGTAGATGGCAGTGTTTAGTGCGCACCTATGGTTATAATCTATGGTTTATGTTCTGAGTAGAGTTTCCTGTTTCCTGTTATAGTCATACAGTTGAGCAATAAGGCACGTGGTGACTGTATTCTTTGTTTGCTCTGGGTTGCTTTATATATAAAAAGAATTTCTAACACTGCTATACGATATATTTGATTCTTTTGGCTGCTGCTTGAAAATATTCAGATGCAACATAATGTTCCACATCTCTATAGTTGGGGGGAAATGCCTGACAGACAACTGTTTTCAATGTTGGATTTTGAGAAGGCACTTTTAGGAATCTGTAGTTCTTTACTATATAATAATATATTCTTAAATCTCAATAAGTTTCTGGGGGGTTGGATGGAACTAAATAACTGCAGTATCTGAAGGCTGGATAATATGTCACATTTCTTCTTTATAAATCATGTGGCCTTTCTTCTCTCCATATAGTATGCTGTACAAAAAGGAGTCCGTGTTCTGGTAGATGCAGAATACACTTATATCAACCCTGCCTTGACGTTAGTCACTATTGCAATGATGGCTACTTGGAACACCCAAAAGCCTTGGATTTGGAATACATATCAAGCATATCTCAAGGTGGGTCTTTATTCCTGGAATCTCCTTCCCCTCGTATATTCATCACATTTCCTGGGAATCCAAAAAATGCACTCTAATTAGAACAATTAATTGATGTTAGGGGACTTTTAAAATAGTCCATAGTAGTTATTTTGTTGGTTGACTAGTTTTAACTTCCTCCAGGACACTTTGGAGCGTCTGAAGCAAGATGTGGCCATTGCTGAACGCTTGGGTGTCTGCTTTGGAGTAAAGCTGGTCCGGGGGGCTTACCTGAACAAAGAACAGAAATTGGCAAAGGAAAAAGGGTACCCTGATCCTGTACAGCCCAGCTGGGAAGCTACCAATGAAAGGTGAGGACTTTTTCAATAGAACTGTTCTTTTGTTTTGAACCTTGGTTATGTTAGGCTGTGTGCTAATTGTAAGGTTTCTGTTGGGAATCTCTTCTGTAGTAATGCCCCTCCTTTTTGTTTACCTTGGCAAACAGTTACCGGCGTTGTCTGGATTTTGGCTTGGACCAAGTATCTCAAGTCAAGGAAAGATTCGAGATGATTGTGGCCACACACAATGAAGCCTCTGTGACACATGCTGTACAAAGGTATAGTAAGCGCAAAAGGAGTGAGGAGGAACTGAGTAATAAAACATCTACTAAAATGTTGCATGATTCTGTGAACAAGTCCTTCCTACCCTTGAAATTGTCTCCAAATTGCATGTGCAAGAAGCAAATTGAAAACCTGCCATCTGAAAACCAAGGGGAGGAAAAGAAATAAGGCAATAATCTGGGAACCCTGAAAAATTTCATTTAGATCAGTGCTTCCCAAGCCATATGCCCTCCAGATTTGTAAAGTTCAACCTTGTTTAATCAGTAGGGACATTGCTCAGAATTTTGGGAGTTGGTCCACATAGCTGAAGACTGACAAGGTATTTGTTATTGTACAAAGCAGCAGAACCAATGGATCAGTGGTTCTCAACCTGTGGGTCGGGACCCCATTTGGGGTCAAACAACCATTTCACGGGGGTCGCCAAACAACACAGTCCGCCATTTTTCCCCCTTTTCCTTTGCTATGCTACTCCCTTTTATTCTATTGGCTTTTGAAAGCCAATAGAATAGACTCTCTTGAACAGAGTCTAATTCTATTGGCTTTCAAAAGCCAATAGGAATTGTCCAGGCTGTCTCTGCCCTGCTGAGCCCACCAAAAGTCCCATTCTGCAAACGGTGCTGCACCAGTTGAGTAGTCCTCGACTTACGACCGGTTGGGGGGTCCCGGCATTAAAAAGGTTGAGAACCACTGCAATGGATGGAAGCTTATTAAAGGAAGATCTAACTTAGAAGTAAGGAGACATTTTTTGACAGTGAGAACAATTAATCAATGGAATAGCCCGCCTCCCAGAGTTGTGGGTGCTCCATCATTGGAAGTTTTGAAAAACAGACTGGACAGTCATTTGACCAGGATGGTATAAAGCTGTGATGGCGAACCTTTTAGAGACCGAGTGCCCAAAACCTGCCCCCCCACCCCTGTCCCTGCTCCATCCTGCCCACTGGGCTATCCACCACCTCCACAGCCCGCCACATATCACCCAAGTGACCCAACAGCACCATGGCGGCCATGATCTCTGTCCATGACCCACAGCATCATCTGCACACGACAGGGCGCAAGGGCAGAGTCTTGTCCCCGCTGCCCAGGTACCATGTCCTTAGCTGCAGTGCTTCACGTGGGCCGTGCCCGGGGGCAACTCTCTTCCGGGGGGGCTGCTAGTGAGGAGAGGGCCATGGGAGGAGGTGGGGCTGGGGCAACAACACATATGCCCACAGAGAGGTCTCCAAGCTCTGGCATGCATGCCATAGATTTGCCACCACTGGTATAAAGTCTCCTGCCTTGAACAAGGGGTTGGACCAGAAGCAACAGACTTTTTGCTCAAGGGTTGACATGTTTTTCCATTTTAACACAACTGAGAGGAAAAGGTCAAAATAAGGGGAGGCTTAAAAACATTAGTGCACATGTAAAGACAAATAGTCATTTGCTCCTCTCAAACCTGTGGGAAATTAGATATAAAAGGGCAAACAAAAGAAACTGATATTTATGGGTAAGTGATTTGCATAAAGTAGCAGAGGGAGCCTCAAGATTTTGTTGAGTCACAATTCTCAGAATCTGTCACTTTTGGCCATGCAAGCTGAGATACTGAGGGTTGACATTCAGCAAGATGAGAATTAGTTGGGTCTAGCGGTTAAGGTGCTGGCCTAGAAACCAGGAGACTGAGTTCTAGGCGAGCCTTAGGCATGAAAACTGACTGGGTGACTTTGGGCTAGTCTCTCTCAGCCCAACCCACCTGGAAGGGGTGCTGTTGTTGGGAAAATAGGAGACAAGAGTATTAAATATGTTTGCCACCTTGAGTTATATATGAAACTGGCAAGATATAACAACAACAATAATAATAACCGAAAGGTTTCAGGATGCCCATCTCCTTGGTTAAAGCCTGCCAATGAACTTAATCTTAAACTAGAATTGTTTTGTAGCTTACAGTTTATGCTTTCTATTCTACATTAAATTCATGCCCATCATTGTCTGTGTGTTTTATCTACTTAAGGATGTCAGAGATGGGCATCAACAAAACTGCTGGACCCATTAGTTTTGGGCAGCTGCTGGGTATGTGTGACCAGGTGTCCTTGGCACTAGGTGAGTCTTACTCCATGGTCTTCATGACTTTTTCCTCACTTTCCCCTTTAATCCTGTGATATATTCACTTCCTTTCTCTAATTGGCTTTTATCCTCTGGCCAAATATAGGTCAAGCAGGTTATGCCATCTACAAATCTATTCCGTATGGATCTGTGGAAGAGGTTATCCCTTACCTGATCCGGCGTGCTCATGAGAACCAGAGTGTGCTGCTCGGGATCCGAAAAGAACGAGATCTGCTTCTCTTGGAGCTGCGGAGACGGATTTTAAGGAGGCCCTGATGGAATTTGCATTAATTAAAGACCATCCCTTTTTTTCCTAGAATCATAGGTGCTTCCAAACCAGGATCTAACAGAAAGTTTAGATATTATGGTATTACATTTCTTAAACTTCCTGTGCTTTCCTATTTGGGCTTCCACTCCTTTTTCTATTGCAGAAGATCCATTAAAAACGGAAAGCTGGAATAAGTACCTACCATTTTATTTGTTGTCAGTGTTAAGTCTGTTCCTGGTTACCTCAAACTTTCTTAATCACTGTTATTTAATAATTCTCTAAAGTATTGATTTTGAAAAGCCTTGATGATCTACTCCAGTGGTTCTCAACCTTTTTCTTTACCACAGTACCTTTTATGGCCACCTAGCATGGCTACGTACCACTGAGACGTAATTCAAGATTTAAATCATAACATTTTTTCAAGTCCTCATGAACCATCTGAGATGACATCATGACACCCCCCAAAGGTCCAGGAAGCACAGGTTGAGAACCACTGATCTACTCCAAATTCCAGATGGGTTTCAATAGGTTAGCTTATATCAGCTTGGCTCCTTAGCTCCTTCTCCGTTTTCTTCAAAAGAATTTTCAGAATTGGCTGAAGGTTGTTTGCTTATAGCTAAGTTTGCTGGCCAAAGGATCTCTTGGGTATGACACTCAGCTGTGGAGTGCTTGATGGAGTTTCAGTGTCCTGATACATTTAAATGTAAAGATTAATATTAAGATTATGCAACCCAACTGCATGTTTCCTTCCTAACAATGACTGTTTACAAGATATGAGTACTCATCTTAGACATAGAAATTCTACAACAGCCATTCAGTGTTTGCTTGTAATCATTCTGCAGTCATCAATTAATTCCAAGGTTGGAATTAAGGTTGAGTTTCAGATGAATTTTTAATCATCAGTGACACAGTCAAGGTCACCAGAAGCACCAGAAGTGGGAATAATTTGTCTGATCTTCCTGGTCTTCCCATTTTCCCAAATTCTAAAACTTTCCACAAGTTTTACAGTCAGCTACAGAGTGAATATTATATCATTTGGGAGAATGCAATTTGTCAAGGCAGATCTTGTTCCCTTGTCTTCTTGATTCTAGGATTGACTCAGAATAACAGAAAAACAGAGTTGGAAGAGACTTTGGAGGTGGTTTAGTCCAACCTCCTGCTCAAGCAGGAAACCCTATATATTCCAGACAAGTGGCTGTCCAATCTCTTCTTAAAAGCCTCCAGTGATGGAGCACCCACAATCTCTGAAGACAAGCTGTTTCACTAGTTAATTGTTCTCACCATTGGGAAATTTCTCCTTAGTTCTAGCTTGCTTCTCTTCTTGATCAGTTTCCATCCATTGTTTCGCATCTTGCCTTTTGCTGCTTTGGAAAATAAGTTGACTCCTTCTTGTTTATAGCAACCCCTCAAATATTGGAACACTGCTATCATGTCACTCCTAGTTCTTCTTTTCGCTACACTAGACATACCCAGTTCCTGCAACTGTTCTTCATATGTTAAAGCCTCCAGTCCCCTAATTATCTTTGGGTGGACTCCTCATTTTATATCTGCTGGGGTTTTTTTTCCATTTTGCTCTGAGAATGAAGCAATCATAGTCACCATCTGATTCTAGCAGTTTCCTAGGCCACTTTGCACAGAGATGCAGTTGCAGTGAAGATTTAATGGTATGTTTGTCAGCAGCTTTCAGCTGCTTCCCAACTGGTGTGTATTGTAGCTTAAATATGTGCTGACTTGTTTAAGCAAGGCAGAATGAAGGGTTGGGGGGATGAGAAAAAGAAGGGGGCTGTGCCTTTATATAATAGACTTAATGAAGTTCAGGTATTAGCAAACTAGACTTCCACACTTACAGGCAGCACTAAACTGGATTAAAACCAGCTGCCCTACTAAAAATGGTTAAAGACAATAATCAGGACAAATGGGATTTTCTCTTGCCAGTGGACTAAAATGAAAAAAAAAATGCTGTGTGGGAAGAACTGGATGCCACAGCAGTATTAAAATTACATTGGCCACATTTCCTTTAAAATTATTTTGGCCACATTTTCTGAAAACCTGTAGCTTTGTTTTTAAAGGTAAGGGGAAATAAATAGAAGAATTTGGGCTTTGAGAATGTCAATGAAAAAATCCTCCCTTAATTAGGAGAATGAGAATGATGTGATGGCTAAGCTCAAAAGCAAGCATTTAGGAGCAGAATTGAATCTCCAGGGACAGGAATTACCTTGGCTTACCCTTGATATCATCAGCTTCTCTTCTGGACCTCTCTCATAATTTGATGGGATGGAAAGGAGGGCTGGCAGCAGCAGCTTTGGTTCCCATAGCTCTTAATCTCAAAAAGATGATTGATGGAAGCCAGTCAGCCTGGAGCTGTAATCCTTGGAACAGACCGGGGTAAACAAGGCCCTGGGAACCTCAGCAGGCCCACATGTTTTTCCTGGGCAATGACACTCAAATACAGATGCTCAGGTTCTCAGCATAGTTTTTCAAAAGTTTCCATATTTTTCAAGGTACAAGAGCTGTCAGTTCTCCGTTTAATCTCTTTATTCCTGCCCTTATGTTTTCCTTCAGGACAATGATCAAAAGCAAAGCCGTTTTTGGTCAAGGGCATGTTTGAACTGTTGACAGTGTTTCCGACCTCTGCAAATGTTGACTGATAGTTGCTTTTGTTGGATTGTTAGAAATGAACCACTAACAGCCTGAGAGAACTTTGTATAAGGAAAATTTTTATTGTACATTAGTTGAGAGAGTAGGGGACAGATCTGATGAAAGATAATAAATGAGAAAAGGGGACCCTGAGTTCTGACAGGTGTTGCAAAGCGGGGATTGAGGAAGAATCTTTTTTCTGCGGGAACTGCGCTTCAGTTTTTAACAGTTGTGGGGACATGACAGTGATGTCAAAGTACCAATTTTATAGGGATACTAATGGATACTAATAGAAAATAGCTGCATGACATTTAGTGAAGGCTTAAAGCCCCCATGTTCAATTGCACTTCTGAAAATCGGAGTTTTGTTAAATTTAAGCAATATAATTTTAAGTCACAAAAAGTGGTTGGGGATTATATATGGATTACAAGTTGTCTATCCATGATTTGGCTTCCCAAATCTACCTGTTTCCTCCCCCGGTCTCCTGTATAAACTGAATTATTTAATCTCACTTCACAGTTTAGATAGAGTCTTTTGTTCATATTATACAGCTCAAGACAGATTAAGTTGGGCTGAGAGAAGAGCAACAGCCAGAATCACCTTCCCATGGCCAAGAGTCTCTCCATAGTGGGTCATCCATAATTATGATTAACTGCAACATGAAGATATTCTGCTGATGATTTTTAGAGAATATATTTTCACAATGGTGTCTTCATCTCATCCCCAGCTTCCTGTGAAGGTATTTGTCTTTAGTAATTCCAGTTTATCAGTAGTGTTTTTCTTCTTCTGACCCAAGTCATCTTGCGTGAACATCCTATGATGACTCCTTAATGATATGCCAGTGGCTGGATCTATCTAGTTCAGTGGTTCTCAACCTTTCTAATGCCACGACCCCATAATACAGTTCCCCATGTTGTGGTGACCCCCAACCACTTATACATCACCGAGTGCCAGGGGCATGGCCAAAGAAAAGGGGAAAAAAATGGCGGACAGCCTTGTTTGACGACCCCTGTGAAATAGTCGTTCGACCCCAAATGGGGTCCCAACCCACAGGTTGAGAACCACTGATCTAGTTTCTATCAGCTCATTTCAGGTTCTGCAAACACAAACTTGGGCTTCTTTCTTCTGGTTGCCTCTTTCCACTACCTTCCTTGAACATTTTGACTGGAGATAAAGGAGGGATCGGGCACCTGGTTTCCACAGAGGCAACTGTCGAATAATGCCTATCCAGTATTTCACAAAGCACCAATTACATTACATTCACTTCTTATATAAAGATTTGGCATTCTTCTGCAACACCACAGATTCTGTTTTTAACATGCATTTAGCAGTCTTGGGGAAAAGTGTAAATCTTCATTAAAAATCAGAACTATCATTGTATAAGTTCAATTTAAACTAGAAATGAGAGTTGGGATTTTCTAGCTGTGGGTTGTTGGTTCTGTTCCAAATAAGTGCATTACAGATTTTCCACAGATCCTGCCAATAAGGGGTCTTACACAGCCATGGTTTCTACTATCTTCATTTTTTGAGGAATAGGGACCTTTTACATCTCCAAAGTCATTTTGTGTATTCTATTGGATACTTGTAGGAGCTGCTAGCAATGGCCAAATACTGCCAGCACTGGCATTTTGAGATAATTGGCAGCTGAAATGAAATGGAGAAAGAGTTCTGCAAGTTTCCCCTTCTAACCCAAGCAACAGGAAGATCAGTAAACCTGTATCCAAAAGTAGATTGGATGATAGGCTGGTGGAACACAATGGTTGAACTAGGGAGAAGCTCCATTGATGTGCCCTGCAAACTTCCTTCTCTTAAACTCACATGCCTCTTCTATCCCACTGACCTGTCCACAGAGATAGTTTTGGACACCAGTCTAAAACTATACTAATATTCCAGTCAATTTCTGGAATATTAGTAAAGCTATGTCCAAAAATAACTTGGTTGATAGTGAGATGAAAAGGCCCAGGATAAAGCAGGAGGAAGCTCTCTCACTACTTTATCCCACACCTCTCCTCCATCCCACCAGCCTTTCAGATGGCCATTTTTAAGACAGTTCTCCTGGTCTTCTGGAAGTTGGGTAGTACAAAAATAGCCTGAATGTCAGATTACCCAGAGGGAGCATCTCCACTTGAGTAACCTGTCATTTGGGCAATTCAAAAGGTGGCTACTCTGTCAGGCACCTGCCCACATTCTTAACCTTGCCTCTTTGGATTTTAAAGACAGGCTTTGGTCTTTTCCTCCTTTTCTGGTTTGTGACATCAGGTAGAAAATAAAGGCAGCATTTTCACAATGCTTCTTATTGAAGCAGATTAGAATTTGACTATGGGGTACAAAAAATTGTGCGAGCATACTTTTTTTTTTTGAAACTCAAGAAGTAAAAAAAATGCACATTTTTTTTTTTAAAGTGCAGTGTGTATTTTCACTCCTTGGAAGCAGAGGACGGCCAATGGTTGCATCAGCGTGACATCATCGAGACAAATTCTGTAAGGGAAATAGCATGAAATAATATTAGTACACTTGCACTAGCCGTGATTGTTTTAATGTCAAATCCTTACTCCATCCATGAAGTTTGCTTAATGACCTCAACTGATTTCTGCTTCTGATATGAACATAACTGTCAGGAATGTGATAACGGGAGTTGCAGTTGTTAAGGTTTAGAAAGCTGATCTACATGAAATTTATTATGTTGCCTGATTAGGTACAGATCAAAATTCCTTTGATCGTATCATACAACTATGAAAATATCACATACACAGTCTTCATCTTAAGATGTTATCTTCTGATTTTCTGACAGAAGAGGCTAATCTTTCCAAACTGCTGACCTCCAACTCATATCACCCCTCATTCAACAGCCAGTTCAAAAGGATTTTTTCCCCCTTCCTCTCTATTTCCATTTCTGGCAATAAATATCTTCTTGGTATAAATCAGTATAATTATAATCCAGAAATTTGAGGAAAATAATGGATTGGGGTGCCACTAGAATGTTCCTCTTTTTTTACATTTTAAAGATGGAACACAAAACTCTTTAAAGAAAAGAGAAATATTCAGCTTAATAGGAAATATTACTCTAATATTTACCTTAGTTGTTCAAATTGCAAAAATCTGCTGTGGATGGGGGAAAATTGCAGTTTTGCTCCCGTCTCGGTGAAATTGGAACAACGTAATGATGTTCTAAATCTATTATCCAAACCCATTTAAGCCTGTATCTTGTCACTCTGTGCTTCCAAAACCTATCTCTCTAGAGCTTTAATACTCTAATCTCTCACCCTGATTTCCCTAAGCCTGTAATCTCTTTCCATCAATTTTATATTCCCAGATATCACCTTCAAAATCCACAGTCCCATCTCCATTAATGTCAGCTTCCTTCACCATATCGTTAACCTCTTCAGGGGTCATTGTCTCACTCATCAACCGTTGCATGGTCTGTCGCAGCTCAGTCAAAGTGATCTTGCCATCCCCATTTGCGTCAAACTGGAAAGAAGAGCCAGAATTATTCGGACTATCCATGCACATTTTCTATACTAGAACCAAAGGGAGGATTAGCTGTGAACCAAGGCAGTAATGACATTTGAGAGAGCAATGATCATTTTTCATGTTCCCGGAGTGTATTAAGGGACCAGCCTTCACCCTCCAGTGCAGGAATTGCTCCCTGCCGGAGGCCATAAAATGGCTATGATCACCTACCATCTTATATTAACAGTAGGATTGTTTGATGCAATTTAGAAAATACATGGCTTTCCTAAATTTGTAAAAAGAGAAATGCTAATTTGAAATAGGTACCTGGGTCTTAGCTGGGAAAGCATTACTTTCTAAGCCTCCACTCTCCATAGGTGACATTACAGATTTAATTATCAAGATTCTAGTAAGGCTGATAGGTTGTTGTTTTTTTCCTTAGACCATTTGCACTCTCCAAGCATGGACTGCAAATGTCACCATCTAGCTAGCATGGTCATTTTCTGTGTTGAATGGGACATTTTTAAATTTTGCAAATTTAATTTCACCACCACAAGATTAGAGCCTCCAAGATGGCTTCCCATGGCCAGCTGGAGAATTCTGGGAGTTGAAGTCCATACAACTTCAAATGGTTAAAGTTGAGAAACATTGCTCCAGTTGGTTTCCTCCAGATGTGTTGGAACTGCAGTTTCCAGAATTCTCTTTCAGACTTTTGAAGGGAAACATTAGGCCTCTCAGTATCTGTGGACATCATGGGCATTACGCCTATCCAGACAGCCAATGGAATGTGCTACTGTCCAATCCAAAATGCACCAGAATTAATTTACTTGGTACACCCAGCCAATTGCTATTTGTCCTTGGTAACAAGGCAGCTTGTTAACAGGGCAATTAATGTGCAGAGATTGGAAGATTCCTGTACTGATGAGACAAAAAGGCCTAATAATCCCTTTTGAAATGCTGTTTAGGACTGGCAAGGGTGGTAACTTTAGGTAGCTAGCTAGAGGCTGCAGCAACAGACTTTCCTGCTTCAGCTGGTGCCATCACAGCTGTCAACAGATCAAGAATGGCATCCCTGGAGGAATTGGGGGGGGGGATGGCCCATTTCAGGCAGCACAGCCACCAAATGTAATCATATCATTGCCTGTACCAAAGGCAGCTTCTATTACCCCATTTTGTGGATCAAACCCTGGGAGAAAAGTTTCAGGAAACAGAAGTTTTCTTCAACTTTATATGGAAGTCATAATCCATACTACCTGCTGACAAGCTACATGGGGGGGGGGGGAAGACCGCTGAAATGGTTGAACAGACTCTTCCCACTTTGATCAATGCTGCCACCCTGTGCAACTTACTATATCCCACCTACCAACACAGATTTCAGGGGATCTGGGAGGGAAAAGTAAATATGACATCCAGGCTTGTTGCTCACTCTCCACTACAAATGATTGGACAGATAGGAGCTCATGCTAGCCAAAAGCAACTATCCTACTTTCTTCTATGTCACCAGCTCCATCCCCCCTATGGGAGACATTAATTTCATATAGGATCAGAAATAACCAGAAATTGGCCTCAGCAACAGTCTGAAGAAACTACTGGTACATCATGTAGACCAGTTCTTAAAGAGGCATCTACAGAGGGTGTTTTAGATATGCCCTGACCTTTAGTCTGCTTCCTGTGTTTATGTCTTAATGTCTGTAGAAATAAATCTATTAGAAGATGTTAGCTCCACTATGTGCACTAGACCAGGGGTAGGCAACCTTGGCTCTCTTATGACTTGTGGACTTTGACTCCCAGAATTCCTGAATCAGCATAGCTGGTTCAGGAATTCTGGATATTGAAGTCCAAAAGTCATAAAAGAGCCAAGGTTGCCTACCCCTGCACTAGACCAAGAAAATAACTTGACAGGAAGGTTCAAAATATTATACAGGCTATAGTAATGGCAACTTTCAAGTCTGATGGTGCTTTATCTTCTCCCCTCCTTCAATACTTCAGTGAATTAAGGAAGCATCTGAGCCATTTCCTCCCCCCCCCCCCATGCTGAATTGAGCTTGAATTATTCATCTCTCTGGGAATGGATCTGGCTTATCTATGTCAAGGTCATTTTCTTTATTCTCTACAAGAGGCAGTCTCCTACAAAGAACTAGACAATGGGCAGAAAATATGGTTAAGAGTAGATTGTCCTTACATTTTGTTTGTACAACCATAAGAAGCTGCTGGTCTGGATGAAGCATTTTGCTCAGATCAAGAAATTGGGACATAAACATAAGATAAAGAGAGTGCATCTAATCCACCTTTCCATTCTGTGTCCCACCATCTATGTTTACCTCCTTGAAGACATCTCTCATCTCTTGAAGGCCGATCATGCCCGCTGTTTCTGCCAACAGTTTTGGGGCCATTAGTTCTACAAAGTCCTCGAAAGCAACATGTCCTCCAACTGCAATGAGAAAAGTGACCTTTTATTGCTTAAAATGATTTAAAAAACAAAACAAAACCCAAACACTTACCAAGAGATTCTAGATATCTTGCCCTCAACTTCATTTCCCTGATTAATATCTAAAGCTGTTTCAGAGTGTTGAGGAGAAAATAACAGGGAACAGATTAATTCTCAAGTCTCCCACTTCCTAAGTGCATTCCAAAGTATTATATTAATAATTTAGTTTTGGATTTGGTAAACACCTGGATAAGAGACCATATGAGACAGTTTCCATCAGAAATAGGAATGACATAATTGTAATAAATGCCCTTTGAAATAAAGTGATCTTCTAATCCAATTCTTGTTCAAAGAGCTCAGAAGAAGTTTCCGATTACCTTTCCTAAAAAAATTGGAGGGAGGGGTGCTAAGGCAAGAAAGAATTAACACAGGCCTTTTGACTTGCTGTGGTCCTCATAAAAATCTTTTTCCCTTAGCCATTATTTTATTGTGAGAACAAAACAAAGGGAACCTTCTTCCCAATGCAAATAATTGTTTCAGAAGAGAATACTTGTAGTATGGTAGTAAAAGGAAATCACTCCTACCTACTGCAATCATCCCCTTCAGCACCTGATCTTTCCTCATTTAAAAAAGGTCCAAATTAAACAAGATTTACTTATCATTGGGGTAATTTATCCCTGAAGGGCAATCACTGGCCATGGTTGCCCAGAAAAGCTGAAACACAACTCTTCAGTCTTAACCAATGTATGCCAAAAGCTGATAAGCTGCCCTTAACGAAAGATTCAGCCTTTTTCTTCAGAAGTAAAAGCTTTCCTTCATAGACAACTGCACACGAAGCTAAGAGAGTGACTAGGAACTCATAGATCGCCAACAGTTGTTGAAGTATACTTCCCATCACTCAGTATTGACTAGGATTGATATGGGTTGGAGTCCAAGAATATCTGGAGAGTCTCAGACTTAGGTTTCCCTCACTTTTTCCAACAAGCACTTACGATTCATGTTGATCTGTTGAGACAATTCTATGAGTTCCATCTCAGTTGGCATGTAACCCATTGTTCTCATGAGGTTGCCCAGATCTTTGCAGCTGATATATCCATCTTTGTCCTTGTCAAACTCCTGAAAGGCTTCACAGAGTTCTGTTTTTGCATGATGAGGAAAATGATGAGGATGATAAAGAATCAAATAAAATCATGGTCACTCAATCATGCTTCAGAGCATTGTGGGAGCTCAGCCCTTAGCATGTACACTTTAGCATGTACACCAGGTTTACACACATAAACCATAATATGATTTACATGCTTGGGCATATCAATTGTGTTTTGTTAACCTGGATTTAGCACTTAGCTTGGAGCCATTTTGGAGTAGAATGACATAGAAGTGTCATTAATTGATTGACTGTTAAATAAGCAAGCATGTTGTAAGGATCTTGCCCATGAATCTCATAGTAATAATAATAATAATAATAATAATAATAATAATAATAATAATAATAATAATAATAATGTCAATTTTCTACATAGGAACCTCCCACTAAAATTACATTTACTGAGAAAATTAAAGCAATTCTGAGTTTATTTTGATAAGTTAAACTACAAATAGCAGGTCCAGAAAGGTGTCTTCTTCACCATTGCTCTTCATGAATTCATTGGAGCACACAATTGATATTTCTCTTTTCTAACAGTCTCTAGGGGAACTCTGATGGGCACACTTTTTCAGGGAAGATTATCTGCTATGATGTCTCTTTCTTAACCTTCCAAAGGACTTCAGCATATCTTGGAGCACTAGCTTAATATATTGGTCAGAATCATACATATGTACAAACAGAAGTTTGCATTTACCTTCAATTTCATCGCTACTCAGTTCACGTTGCTGAAACAAAACAAAACAAAACAAGACATTCACTGCAATACAAGGACATAAATAAGGAATTCAGAAGCCAAGGCTCACCATTCCAAACCTAGGAGAAAACTGCTCTTTTTTGGAGGGGGGGGGAACTGGAGAAATCAAGTCCTGAACGATCAGAAATCAGCAATATTCCAAAACAGCAGGTTATAATCCAAATCACTATCTGGAGATGGACACGGTAAGACCATTGGGCTTTTTGATTCACTGGATCTTTTCTCAGTGCAAGGGATAAATACAATGGCAAGCGAGTCTTACAGCTAGTTGAGATACCTGCTAGCTACTGATTGCAGAATAGGCTTAGGTAGGCAACGATGCTTTGATTAGGAAATAAAGAAGAACATTTGAGAAGACAGCCTAGACCAAGCTGCTTCCAACAGAGGTCAAAAAGACTCAGCTTTTTTCTTGTAAACTTTGCTAGTATTCAAGGCCACTGATTGAAATAAATCCCCCAACTAGAAAAGCAAAGAGAAGTTGGAAAATAAGCATCACTTCACATGGACCACACTTATATTTCTGTCATCTCCACTGTTCGTAAACCTATGCAATTTGCCAGAGATAAAAGTGGAGATAAAAGCGTGAGCAGTCATGTCTTTCAACTGCTTTCCTCTCTCTAATAGATGCTCATGTGTACACATGTTTACTTCTCTTCTGTCATGTTTTCATCATATGCTAAATCAACCAATCAATCTTGCTAATAATAATTTGTAAAATGCAATTGGCTCAGTCATCTTTCTCCTGCTTACAGTACTGCTGAATTACAGTACAGTTGAATTACAGCACCTATCCTTCTTGGCAAAGTGGTTGGGGCTTAGACCCAATACATTTTAAAAAGGTTGGGGAATGTTTCTTTAGGTTTCTTTTGAAGAAAACCCAGGCATCTATCTCACCCACCACCATTTCATATTTCTACTATCTTCTGCCCAGTTTGATCCATTTCTATTGCATATCCTGAATTTAAAAACAAAATACCTTCCTATGGCAGAGAGTGAAATCTGGGAATATTACAATCCTGCCCTGGACCGCTTTTGATTAATTGCTCTTTCACAGAAAAAAAATAAGACAAGAAAGGAAAGATCCAGCCCAGTGCATTTCCCCTAACCTGTAGAGCTACCCCATCAATGCCCATGACCCAGTCCCCACTAGATGGCCCATACCCTCTGCTTGTCAGCAATGTTCTTGCGCAAGAAGATGCAAGCGGGTCCCAGGCTGTTCTGCATGGTGCAGAGAGATGTGGTTCCTGGTCCAGTCACCAAGTCCCCAGCCAGTCTGCTTGGCACCCAATCTTCAGCAGCAGAAAAAACAGCACTTTGGAAGAGGCTGATTTATAGAGGGAGAAAGGGATCATCTCTTCTTCATTTCCGACCCCTCCCCCATCCAGACCTTTTTTGCTCTTCTCCTGGCAGTGACATCGGTAGAATAAATCTCTCCTCCTTTGCCCAGATTAACATCTGCCACGTGGTGACAGTTGGCAGCCTGGACCAGCTTGGCTTCTCAGGAAGTATAGAAAAGACGGAAGCTTCCAGAACATTAAAATGGGGTAGGAAAGGATGGATAGCCAGTTGTGTAGCCATTAAGCCATCAGGCTAGAAACTGGACGACTGTGTGTTCCAGTCCTGTCTTAGGCAGAAATCCAGCTGGGTGGGCCAGTCACTCTCTCTCAGCCCTGGAAAGGAGGCAATAGCAAATCAGCAAGAACACTGTGGGACTAGTTCGAGCAGTCATGAGGAATCAACACTGACTCGAGAGCACACACCCCTCCCAAACACACACACAAAATACCACACACCCAAATACGCACACAAACCTCCACCACATTATAAACTATTTTAAAAAGTTTTGGTTTAAAGAATAAAGAAAATCTCCAGATTCTCCAAATCTCAGGGAAACCCCCCACATAAATAGGCTTTCTCCACTTTATTGCCATAGTTTTAAGGGTGTAATCACTATCTTGCCCACTATGGCCTTCAGCCCATCCAAAAAATATACTGTAAATACATGGCCCTTAGCCACAAAAAGGCTGCCCACCACTATGTTAACATAGATACTGCTATGGCAGGCCACACATGAAAAGATGGACATGTTCCACCAAAGTCTGATTTGGCTCTAATTTGTAGAATCATTTGAGCCTTGAGTACTTTGGAGCAGTCATGACCTAAATCAACTCCTAAGTGTGCTTCTTAAAATTGCAGAAAAGGTGGTGGCAACTCCTAAGTTTTCCTGCCTGAGAAGAGCGTTGGACTAGAAGACTTTTAAGATCCTTTCCAACATTGTTATTCTGTCAAGTTATGAAGTTATCTCAAGGGAGATGAGTGCAGTCTCTGGTACTCACCCTCTTGCTCAGCACACACTCACATACCACCAGCCACAAACATGTAGGATAAGACAAAGGAGAAGGCTGCAGGCAGCAGGCTATTGAGTCTCTTTCCTTGTGAATTTTCATCCTCCCTTTACAGCTGTCATAATAACCAGGTAGATTCTTCTTTCTCCTTCATTGGTTGCTAGGAGCTGGAATAGAACCAAAGAGAGAGGAAGAGAAAGAAAGGCTGGTGCAGGGATGAGGGGCAGAAGGCTTTGAGGCAGTTGGGAATGTGGGACATGGGCATAATGGGGTGGGAAGTGGTTGAGTTGGAATTAAAGACATGGATGGGGGAAAGGGCGCTTGGATCAATCACCGGGGAGGTCAGGGAATGTAAAGAATGGTGGTAGCCATTTGGTGCCATATTAGACATTTGCCCACCTAACTCGGTATTTTATCCTAAATGTACTGGCATTGCACGTTCTCAGGAGAGTGGTTTGAAAGGCGACTCAGAGAGCTTCTGCATGCAACATGTGTGCTCCAAGGCTGAACAGTTAAATCTCCCCTAGAATGTTGGGACTCAGTTGAGAAAATAGGAATGTAAAAACCCAGCAAAATTTCCAACTTCCCTCTTGTCCTTCTCCTTGAAGACCTGCACCCCCCAGGCCATGCAGTCTGGACGCCGGGGCCGCTTGTCGGTGGCAGGGCCAAGCACCCAACCCCAAGAAACCATTACCAACAGCCCCTCCATATCTGGTGATCTTCGGCTGCTCCACACAATGTAGGTAACTAAATGAAGGAGGTGATGATGTTTTCTTCTCCCCACAAAAAACTCAATTGCTGGTTTTTCAGCTAGCTGAGACAAGGTCAAAGTTGCTGGTTGTTTAAAGCTTTGGATAGGTGGGGGTGTCCTTATGTAAGGAGCATCCTTTCCCATACAAAACTCCTTAACGCTGGCTCATATGTTTCAACAGAACCCAGGCTAATACTGCTCTAAGCCAGCATTTTTTGAAGCAGCTGAAAAATGCATCTCTTCTTGGCAATTCCTATAGCTATGACATGGCAAGGCTTTTCAGCTTGACCTCTATACATTGTTAGATTTCTGATTACATTCTGTCTAACTTCCTGGTTTACACTATACCTTCAGTATTTATGGCTTGGCTATTATTTTGTTTTCTGTTGAAAACAGTTGAAACCTTTTAATACATTATGATTTATTTATTTGGCGTGAAGGCCTATGCCTTGTAAATATGTTGGATTTTCAGCCGCCATAATCTGAAATGTGAAGTTGCTGGATTTTAGCATCATTATTATGGTCTGCTACAAAAGAGGAAAGCTACTAAATACAAATACTTTGGTCATCTTTTCCAGAGACTGTGGAGATCAGCCTCTTTGCTGCCAGTTTAATAACGATGGGACCCGGGTTGCAGTAGGATTGCGTACTGGAGCCATTAAGGTCAGTGTCAGATAGGGAAAGAGGACAGTTCCAGAAACTAAGTTTATCTCCAAAGAAGCAATCAAAAAAATCAAGAACATAGCCACACTCATGCAATTGAAGCTCCACCCCTTTTTCATATGTGTTCTATATGTTACATATATGTGTGTGTGATCTCAATTGCATAGCCACAACTATCTTCTTAACTCTTTGACACACACATACACACACCACCAGCCACAAACAGGTGCCATACTGGTTTTGGCCTCAATGTTCAGTAGCCTTTCTGTTATGTCCCGAGCCTTGCAAACGGCTCGGGCGTTTGCAGGCAGTCCCGGGCAGGTGCAAAGCTGCCCGGGACCAGACAGGCTGTCGCCAGCGCCGTGCACATGCGCGGGTGCTGGCGCGGGAAAAGTAACCCATTTACCCGGGAGTTGCCTATATAAGAGGCTGCGAGGCGTTTGGGCGAGGCTGAAGCCATCTTCCTGTAAGCTGAACGCTGAATAAAAGAAACTGAGAACTCCAGCTGCTTCTCGTGTCTGTTTCCCGCCAGGACTCAACACTGGCGACGAAGGTGGGATGCCTTGCACTACCTGGAAAGGAAGAAGTGTAAGCTTACCCAAGGAGTCCTGAGCGGCGGAAGAGGAACGGCGTCGACTCGGCAGCTGCCCGCCAATCCGGTGCGCATTCGGGGGTAGGCTGGCTGATAGACCCGTCTCCTGAAGATCCGAAGATGGCGAAAATCGGAAGGCTTTCGGAATTCGACGTCTCACATCCAGAGCGGTGGGAGTCCTACGTATCCAGAATGGAGAACTACTTCAAGGCAAACCAAGTGACGGAAGATAGCTTGAAGGCTGCCACCCTGCTTTGCGTTTGCGGCCAAGACGCCTTCGAAATCGCAGAAAACCTTGCAGCACCTGTCCCAGTAGAGTCTGTAAGCTACGCAGACCTGAAGAAGCTGCTGAAGGAGCACTTCCACCCCAAGGTGTCCGTTATCTCATGGCGCCACACCTTCGAACAGAGGGATCAACGGTCCGGTGAGTCAGCCAAGGAATACATCGCCGCGTTACGGAAGGCCGCCAAGCCCTGCGAGTTCAAGGACCTCGAGGAACGACTGAGGGACCGATTCGTGTGCGGGTTAAGGCATCGAGAGCTACAACAGAGACTTTTCGCTAAGGAAGAATTATCCTTCCAAGACGCCTTAAGGGAAGTCACCGCAGAAGAAGCAGCAGGCGGCGCCGTCAAGAACATGCGGCCGATCAGAAGCAGTGCAGAGGGTGCGTCCGTGCACCAGGAAGACGTCCGACGAAACTCCGAGGAGGATCCGGACGAGGAAGTCGACCGTCTACACCCCGCGAAGGAAGAAAACCAGAAGGGAAGCTCTTCGGCTCCGCTCAAGTGCATCGGCTGTGGAGGTCGCCACAGGAGAACCGACTGCAAGTTCCGCTCCGCTACCTGCCGGGCATGCGGCAAACAAGGGCACATTGCAGCTGTGTGTCTGGGCCGACGAAAGGCACAACCCCAAGAAGAACGCCTGAAGGGTACCAGACTCCCCAGCCAGAATAGGGTAGGTTTTTGCGCTTCGCGAAGAAGCATCTGTAGGACAGGCACACACAAGCCCATGAAGAAAAAGCTGTCACTCAACGTGAAGCTACAAGGGGTTCCATTATCTATGGAACTAGACACAGGGTCTGCCCTTTCCATCATTTCATTGCATACATTTAGGAAGATTTGTTCCAGTAGTGGGACTAAGGCCAAGTTAAGGCCTTCTGATATTGTATTAACAGATTTTCAGAACTCAAGAGTGTGTGTTAAGGGGGAGGCCACCCTTAACGTGCAATACAAGAGTTTTGAAGGTCCACTAGACTTATTAGTAGTAGGGGGTGAACGAACGAGTCTCATAGGACTCGATTGGTTTGAGGCCCTGGGGATACACGTCACAGGACTCAACAGCTTACAAACACTCGACCTACAGGAAGTCTGCAAAGAATTTGCAGATGTTTTCAGCCCCCAGCTGGGCACATTCAAAGGACCACCTGTGTCCTTAAAGCTAGACCCCACTGTCACTCCCATTAGGATTAAAGCAAGAAGGGTCCCTTTTGCTTTAAAAAGTAAGATTGACACTGAATTAGACAAACTAATCCAACAGGAATCCTAGAACCTGTTGATTCCAGCCCGTGGGAGACCCCCATTGTCACGCCTCTAAAGGCAAATGGGGACATTCGCATTTGTGCTGATTACAAATGCACACTCAATAAGGCATTGCAGCAACATGCCTATCCTGTTCCTGTGGTCAGTCACATCCTGGCCTCTCTCAAGGGGGGGCGTGTTTTTGCAAAGCTTGACCTAGCTCAAGCATATCAACAGCTGCCTGTTGATGAGGATGCTGCTATAGCTCAGACCATTGTGACCCACAGGGGAGCCTTTAAGGTAAAAAGGCTACAGTTTGGAGTGAATGTCGCTCCTGGGATTTTCCAAAGCGTAATGGAAAACACACTACGAGGTATACCAGGGGTCTGCCCCTACTTTGACGATGTCTTGATTGCAGGAGACTCCACACACATTCTAGCTGAAAGGCTTAGGGCTGTCCTGTTAAGATTCAGGAAATCAGGCCTCAAGCTCAGAAAAGACAAATGCAAGATTGGGGTGCCTTCTACTGAATTTCTGGGATTCAAAATTGATGCTGCTGGGATTCATCCTGCTGAATCCAAACTAACTGCTATTTTAGAAGCACCCAGGCCAAAGTCTAAGGCCGAACTTCAGGCCTTCTAGGCCTCCTGAATTTCTACAATTCTTTTCTTCCACATAAAGCTAGTGTAGCTGAGCCTCTTCACAGGCTACTAGACAAACAAGCTGTGTGGCTGTGGTCACAAGCACATGAGGCTTGCTTTAAAGAAGTCAAGGCCTTGCTCACTTCTAACAGTGTTCTTGCACATTTCAACGAGTCTCCTTCCTGTGTGCATCGCTTGTGATGCGTCCCCCTATGGGGTTGGAGCTGTCCTGAGTCACCTCAGGTCTGATGGAACTCAGGTTCCTATTGCATACTACTCCAGAACACTGTCTTCTGCCGAGCGCAACTACGCTCAGATAGACAGGGAGGCTCTGGCTGTTGTTGCTGGAATTAAAAAATTCCACGATTTTCTATATGGCAGGCATTTCACGGTCTTCACTGACCATAAGCCTCTGCTGGGACTGTTTACCACACGTAAGCAGACTCCCCACATCATTTCCCCTAGAATGCTTAGGTGGTCTATTTTTTGTCTGCATATGATTTTTCATTACTCCACAAGCCTGGGAAAGAAATGGGCCATGCTGATGGCCTCAGTAGGTTGCCTCTGCCAGTAGTAGAAGCTGACCCCGCGCCAGCTGTCAACATTCTATCAATCCAAGCCTTGCCCGAGCTCCCTCTTAGTGCCAGGGATGTTACCGCTGAAACAGGTACAGATCACACACTTTCACGTGTCCGCTCCTGGGTCCTGTCCGGGTGGCCTGAGCACTGCCCTAGTCCTGAGTTTCAGAGTTTCTGGTCCAAAAGGAACGAACTGTCCCTTTCTCAGGGTTGTCTGCTTTGGGGAAACAGAGTTGTCATTCCCACCTCAATGAGGACTAGGGTCTTAGAATCCCTCCACGAGGGTCATCCTGGCATTGTTCGTATGAAGGCTCTTGCACGAAGCCACTTGTGGTGGCCTGGTTTAGATAAAGATATTGAGGCTAAGGTACACGCATGCCACCTGTGCCAACGATCTCGCCCAGAGATGCCCCAAGCTCCTGTGCATAGATGGGAGGAAACACAGTCCCCATGGTCTAGGGTGCACATTGACTACGCTGGGCCCTTTCAGGGCCAGTTCTTCTTGGTCCTTGTTGACAGCCATTCAAAATGGCTTGAGGTTGTGCCTGTCTCATCCACCACCACTGCAAAGACTATTCAGGTACTGAGGGGGATTTTTGCTGCACACGGGCTGCCAGATGTCATTGTGTCCGACAACGGCCCTCAATTCACCTCCTCCGAATTCCAAGCTTTCTTACAGGCAAACCTGATTCGTCATGCCACGTCTGCGCCTTTTCACCCGTCCACCAACGGTATGGCTGAACGCATGGTGCGCATCGCAAAGGACGCCTTGAAGAGACTCACCTACGGGGACTGGCATCACAGGTTGGCTGACTTTCTCCTTTCTTATCGCACCACACCGTCCACTTCTACAGGGAGAAGTCCAGCTGAACTTCGTTGGGGGCGCCAACTTACTACTAGACTTGACCGGTTGCATCCGGACAGACTGCCTTCATCTACCTCACATCCTAGGGCACCTAGACAACTACTTGTGGGTGCCCCGGTTTGGGCTCGCAATTACGGGCCTGGTCATACATGGGTCCCCGCTTCTGTGTCCAGGGTCACAGGTCCTCTCTCCTACGAGGTGCCCTGGACAACGGTCGTGTCCTGCGTCGGCACATCGACCAACTCCGCTCTAGGCGGGACTTTTCTGATGAGACTCCTGGGTCTTTTCCAGGGGGGGAGGGGGACCCTTTGGAGCAAAGGGAAGGGCAAGAGCTACTGCCCATCTCCACTGAGGGAGCCACAAACGGCCCATCCCAAGATTCCGCAATTGCTCCGAAAAGGAAGTCATGGAGCTTACCCACACAACAGGCACTCACGCCTACTCCAGCCAGGGAGTCACCCCGGGGGCATACTCACTTTCCACACACATCACACAGCACTCCAGCAACGGAGGATACCCGGGGGCATCCCAACAAATCATTCCCTGCAAGAGAGCTGGCACACAATTCCCAAGGTTGGCCTGACCTTACCCCAAATCCTACAGGGGGTCAAACATACACAGAGCTAGTCGAGGAACCAAGTCCCGACTACAACACCCCTAGCACAAATCAGGGAACACCTGAGTTTTGGGAAAGTACAGAAACCCACACGAGCCCGAGCACAGAATGGGGTTCAGGGAATGGACAGCCTCCTGACAGGTCTTGGACTGACCTAGGAGTTTCCACAGAGACGCCCAGCAGTGGCTATCACTTCAAGGGGCCTGAGGGTCTACAGCTAGGTAGGACAACCAGGTCACAAAGCAACAGAAGCCCTGGCCTGACGAGCCCGGTGGGCAAGCAAGCAGGCCAGGCATCGGGGCACAGTCCTTGGAAGACACCAGGGCACAATAGAGAGAACAGGCTCACGCCTCCCTCCAGTCAGGGGACTTATGCCAGTAACCCAGAGCTAAGAAGGTCACAGAGAGCAAAGAAATCTCCTAAGTACCTAGAAGATTACATAACATTGCTGGCAAGGCAAAAGCCAGTAAACAGTGGGAGCACTGGGGAGCAAATTGTCGTATAAAATAAATGTTGTATGTTGGTAGTAGTTTTAGCCCGGGGGAAAGGGGTGTTATGTCCCGAGCCTTGCAAACGGCTCGGGCGTTTGCAGGCAGTCCCGGGCAGGTGCAAAGCTGCCCGGGACCAGACAGGCTGTCGCCAGCGCCGTGCGCATGCGCGGGTGCTGGCGCGGGAAAAGTAACCCATTTACCCGGGAGTTGCCTATATAAGAGGCTGCGAGGCGTTTGGGCGAGGCTGAAGCCATCTTCCTGTAAGCTGAACGCTGAATAAAAGAAACTGAGAACTCCAGCTGCTTCTCGTGTCTGTTTCTCGCCACGGACTCAACACTTTCCTTACCTGGCTCCCTCTCCCAGGTGTGCTACACTCCAAGAGGCTGCAAGATGAGGTATGGTTCAATTTCCATCTGAAAAGCAACAAGCTCAAAAGAGATTTTGAGTAGAGATTTTGAGCACCTATAGCTGCCTGCTGGAAATCAAAAGGACTGTCCCTTACAACCAAGGGATGAGTGGGATCAAAGACTACAAAATTCTTTGCCCTTTCTTTTTTGGCATCTGACCCATCATCACAGATTTTCAGCACACTCAAAACATTCTGCACAACACAAAATAAAATCATACAACAAATTAGACTGATCAGAGAATTAAATATATTTACCAAAGAGTAAAACCACTATGCTCCAAAGGACTTGCATCTAACACAGAATTGAAATGAATGGCGATTTGATGAGCTCAGTTATCACTACAATTAGATCTCCAGTTAATCCTGTACAGTATAACACAAGTTGTCTGGTATCCCCACTGGATCATTTAGCTTCATTCTTCTGGGATAAATAAACTGTGTTCTACACAGCATTCCTGAATTATCTCACCAACATTTGGCAATAAGCCTCTTTAATTTTGGTTAATATGATTCCTCCCTCCCTCCCTCCCTCTCTAAAACATACAGTATTCCAGTTATAAATCTTCAGACCTATATACTTACTCACACATTCAGACAAGGAAAGGATAGCTCCTGTCACAAAAAAATGCTATTGACTTGTTGCAACTGTTCTCCAGGATCCCAGACAATCTGGTTTCCTGGATGGTGAGGATGGTGAATCTGGGTACTGGTATATCTTGGGAAATTTGCCAAGTGTGTGCTGTACATTGAATCCATTCTATAGAAATGGAATCATAGCGTTGTTCAAAGAGCTGTTCTGTGCCATATCACCAGTTTCAGTTCCAAAGCTACAATTGTATAGAATGACCATTTCACGGGGGTCACCAAACAATGCAGTCCGCCATTTTTTTCCCCTTTTCCTTTGCTATGCTACTCCCTTTTATTCTATTGGCTTTTGAAAGCCAATAGAATAGACTCTCTTGAATAGAGTCTAATTCTATTGGCTTTCAAAAGCCAATAGGAATTGTCCAGGCTGTCTCTGCCCTGCTGAGCCCGCCAAAAGTCCCATTCTGCAAACGGTGCTGCACCAGTTGAGTAGTCCTCGACTTACAACCAGTTGGGGGTCGCGGCATTAAAAAGGTTGAGAACCACTGGTATAGAACATAGTTTCATGATATTTTCCTTGGGAAACACCTAGGTTCCCGTGGATTTCTATGGAATGGTCTTTCACTTAATGCAGCGGTTCTCAACCTATGGGTCGCGACCCCATTTGGGGTCGAACGACCATTTTACGGGGGTCGCCAAACAACGCGATCCACCATTTTTTCCCCTCAGGGGGCGGCACCGCGCATGCGCGCCGCGCATGGGGGCGCCGGCACGCATGCGCACCGTGCATGGGGCGCGTCCGTGTGACAGGGGGCGCCGTCACACAAAGGTTGAGAACCGCTGACTTAATGGAAAGTAGCCATTTCTTCTAAATTGTTAACCTCCTGTCATCCTGCTATCTCTTCTCTCCTGTGCTCGTTTATTCTCGCCTGCTCTCAAGGTTTTGTGCTGATATTTCTTTGTCTTCTCTCCTGTGCTTAAAGGTTTATTCTGTCAATGATGGGTCACTTCATCACATTCTTGCTGATAATGACACAATATCCCTAGGACTTCCCACCACCTCACTGCACTTTATGCCCCGTGGACCTGCCCACAGTGGAGATGTCTTACTTACCACCTGTGAGTAACTCTTTTCTAATATGATGAAGTTAGATTTCAACTTCTTGGCACACAGTATTCATTTCTTTTTGTTTGGAATATGCAAGATCCTTCATATTATTAAGCCTTCATAATAAATTAAATTATACACTTAATGAAAAGAAGGACTAGGGGTGACATGATAGTACTGTTCCAATATCTAAGAGGTTGCCACAAAGAAGAAGGGGGGGGGATCAACTGTTCTCCAAAGCACCTGAAGCAATGGATGGAAACTAATCCAGGAAAGAAGTAACCTAGAACTAAGGATAAATTTCCTGACTATTAGAACAATTAATCAGTGGAAAAACTTGCCTCCAGAAGTTATGAATGCTCCAACACTGGAAATTTTTAAGAAGAGACTGGACAAACATTTGTCTGGAATGGAACAGAATAGAACAGAACAGAATAGAATAGAATAAACAGAGTTGGAAGGAACCTTGGAGATCTTCTAGTCCAACCCCCTGCTCAGGCAGGAAACCCTATACCATTCAGACAAATGGTTGTTCAATCTCTTCTTAAAAATTTCCAGTGTTGAAGCATTCACAACTTCTAGAGACAAGTTGTTCCACTTGTTAATTTTTCTGTCAGAAAATTTCTCCTTAATTCTAGGTTGCTTCTCTCTTTGATTAGTTTCCATCCATTGCTTCTTGTCCTACCCTCAGGTGCTTTGGGAAATAGCATGACTCCCTCTTCTTTGTGGCAATCTCTGAGATATTAGAACACAGCTATCATGTCACCCCTAGGGCTTCCTGCTTGAGCAAGGGGTTGGACTAGAAGACCTCTAAGGTCCCTTCCAACTCTGATATTCTGTTATTCTAATTTGGTTTACTTTGATATGTGAACAGAGCTATTTAGCATTGCCATTTGTAGTTCTCTTGACCTTCTAACTGTGGCTGCATCCTTTACAAAGCTGTTCATGGCAGAAAAAGACTCTTCCTAATTTTGCCCCATTTTGACTTCTGCTTCCCTATGAAAAAGAATGTTCTCTATCTACCTTGAATAATATCATTAAATCTCTTGAACTTTCTCCCAACAAGATTCTGGTGGGAAAGTGAAATTATGGCACGTCTCTACTCACACCTGTCTGTACACCATCACAGAAGATCGCCAAACCCTCGCAGCTTGTTTCAATCCTTCTGGCTCCAGGTTTCTCACAGCTGGAGCAGGACCTGGAATTTTCATGTACGATGCTCAGACCTGGGATAAATTGCAAAATTTTCTGCCCAGGTAACGTTGAGATTTGTACATTAGCTCTTGAGAGGGTTAGAAATTGTAAGAAATAATGGGCACAATTTAGTAGGGAGTTTTGTGGGTGGGTTTTGGGGTTTTAAGTGCAATTGTAATGGGCAAAAGGAACAGGAGGAAGCGCTCCAACCAAGACAGTGGTCAAATAAAAAGATGGAAAATATTTGGTAGCTGTTATTGGTGGTTTTTTTCTCAGAGCTTGCTGTTTGGCTTCCGAACATTTCATCACCAGGCCAGGTAACATCATCAGCAGAAGTTCAATTGAAGCATCTTGTTTCCGTTCTCTGCTTTTATATGGTCTTGTGTGGTTACCTTGTTGGTTAGCTGTGTGGTTGGCAGGCCACGTGATGCAAAGATCACCTGGGGGAGGGAAGTCATCTGGTTGAAGGTCACATGAGGCCATGCAAAGGTCACCTGGAGGTCAAAAGAACTCTTGAGTTTGGGCTAGAACTGTAAACTGAGCCAGAGCCTCAGACAAGACTCTCTGTAGGCCACATGAAGATAACCTGGAATTAAGGAGAAACTTCCTAACAGTGAGGAGAATTAACTAGTGGAACATTTGCTTTCAGAAATTATGGGTGCTTCTTCATCACTGGAGGGTTTTAAGAAGAGACTGGACATTCACTTGTCTGAGATGGTATAGGTTCTCCTGCCTGAGCAGGGGGCTGGACTAGAAGACCTCCAAGGTCTCTTCCAGCTCTACATTGATTGATTGATTGATTGATTGATTGATTGATTATTGAAAAAGCTCGTTCAGATTTGCAAAATTGTGTTACTACAGTCTTATGATAAAAGTATGATGAGCATGCATTATTTTGGTTTACTAATCTCAAAAAGCTGACAACAGCCATCTTTTTCCTCCAGCGATTCCCCAAATGTGATGGACGGACATATGTCCCGAATCTATGCTTTGACCTTCTTCCCAGAAAACAATGAACGCTTCATTTCTGGAGGATGGGACGACACAGTGCAGGTGAAACTCAGCAAATCAGCCAGGAACATTGGTTGTGCTGCTGAGCAGTTACGGGGTTGAGAATTGGCAGTGGGAACTTCAGGATCCTGTATAGCAGAAAAATGCTCTTCTCTATTTACTGGACATAAAAAGCTGCTTGGGACAAATTCTCACTTTAGCCATCACTGCTGTTTGATTTGTGGGGGGGATGCTGGTACTGTCTTATCCTGCAAATATCAGAGTTACTCTAAGTTGCTGGTTTGAGCAACCCAAAACCTTAGCCAGGCTGACCACTATTTTGCACAAACCCAAGAAGAACCTACAAAACATGCAAAATACTCGTTGGTGCTGCTCTATCTTCATTCATGTGAACCCTGGGTGGTTTGATTCAAAATAGAAAGATTGGGGGTGGAGGTTAATAGCAATAACAATCGCACTTAGACTTATATAATGCTTCATAGTAACCTACACCACTAAGCGGTTTACAGAGTCAGCGTATTGCCCCCAACAATCTGGACCCTCATTTTACTGACCTCAGCAGGATGGAAGACTGAGTCAACCTTGAGCTGGTCAGAATCGAACCCCTGGCAGTGAGCAGAGTTAGCCTGCAATACTGCATTCTAACCACTGTGTCACCATGGCTCTTAATGTCTCCACCTCCAGCCTCTTTTTAAAAATAATTCATTTGTCTCTATAATGGGGGAAAGGATATGGGGATTTTTCTTAACAAAGGGGTTGAAGGAAAAGGTTATGTTCCCCCTGCCCCATTCCACATTTATGAATATGGTCCAAAGATGTGGACTATGGGTATGCAACATTTGGGAATCTTTAACATCTTTTTTATTATTTGATCTTCGAACGGCATCAGATGCAGGTTGCAGACAGATAGGCAGCAATGTGGTGCCATCTCTGGAGGGGATGAGGCCGAATTTTTTGGCCATTTGGAGGGTAGGATTTGAATTGGCCAGGTTGCTTCCAACAGATGTTTATCACTATTAAAAGAAAGAGGTGGATTTTTAAAAATTAAATCATGCTGCCCAAAATAGGCAATTTAGCTGTAAGCTTGCCATCTTGGTAGGAAGATCTCTGCAGGCCAAGGAAGATTTCGGGCTTTGGGGAACCCAGGACTGGAATTAAAAAAAAAATATCAGAAGGATGGCTGTATGATAGGTAGTTTATAGATTGTATAATTTGTTTCAAGAGACATACAGTACCTTAAAATGCATCCCAGAATCATAGGTGTCATGTTCATTCCATAGGAGATAGGTCAGGCAAGGGAAATATTATCAAGTGGGTGTTGGAGAATGTGAAGCTATCTAACTACTTTTTTTTTTTTATCCTTCTAGTTTTGGGACACACGCTTTCCACATTCGCAACGGTATGCCTATGTATCTCCTCTACTCCATCCAGTTCTCTTACCTCATTCTTTGGGGCCCTTCTCCACCCTCCACCCTCCACCCTCTTCCATTTCTCCTTCCCCCCCTTTCTTTCTCCAATCTATTATTTCTTCTTCTGCCGCTTCTGTTCTTACATCTTTCCCACCTTTGCTCTGCCCTTCTCACAGGCGTATTTCTGGGCCCCATATCTGCGGAGATGCCTTGTCAATAGACAAAACGGGCACACAGATTTTGACGGGATCCTGGAGGCGGCATAACACCCTGCAGGTAAGAGCTGACACCTCGGAAGCTCCAAAGTTGATCTAGAGCTTTCGGAGATCATTTGGATTAAGCCATTTGGTTCCTTTGACACAGAAGCATGCTCTACCAATAGAAGAGAACATTAGTAGCTCAGGGTTGGATTGTAGGGGTCCTTGGTGCTCTCTGAGCTTAGCTGTTTTCTTGCAGACATTTCTTTTTTTTTTTTATTGAAAGTTTTATAAATTTTACAAAAAGACAAAAACAATACAAAACAAAAGACAACATATACAAAAAAAAAAAACTAAACATTACATATAAAAAAAAAAAAAACCCCATCCCCCACCCCTCACAAAAACCCTCCCTTCCCCCCCCTGAGCTTCCCAGAGCAGAATATAGGCTTAATTAAAGATTAAGAAATAAAAATAAAAAATTAAATTAAAAAATTTATATTTATATATATATATATAAAAAATATCTGTATATATATATAAAAATAAAACTTATAAAAAAGCTATGTGATATTTTTGTATACCCAATCTAAATTGTATAAATTTTATCCATTTGTCCCAAACAGCAAGGAACTTCTCTTGCGTTTGTTGCTTTAAGAAAGCCGAAATCTTTGCCATTTCCGCCAGATAAGCTACTTTAAGAAACCATTCCTGCAATGTAGGCAAAGATTCCTTCTTCCAATATTGTCCTACTAACAGCCTAGCGGCTGTAATCAAATTTAACATCAATACAACCTCCTTTGTATCACAATCTGTAACAATGCCTAACAAAAATAATTGCGGAGTAAATTTTACCCTCCTTCTAAAAATTCTCTGGATATTCCACCATATTTTGATCCAAAATGCTTTTATCTCTCTGCATGACCACCAAATATGATAATAGGAAGCATCCTTATAACCACATCTCCAACATTTGGGTTGCACGTCAGGGTACATAAGAGACATTTTTTGTGGATCAAGGTGCCATCTATAAAACATTTTATAAAAATTCTCCCTAAGGTTCTGTGCTTGTGTAAATTTGACATTTCTCACCCAAATGGTTTCCCAAATGTCCAATGAGACTGGGACACCAAAATTCTGCGCCCATCTAATCATACAATCTTTAATTAATTCCGTTTCTGAGTCCATTTCAACTAATACCCCATAAATTCTCTTGATATGGGTTTGTCTTTGATCCTTGACTTGCTTAATAAGATTTCCATCTTCTCTAAGAAAACCCAATTTACAATCCACCTTCCATTTATCTACTAGTTGCCTATATTGAAACCAAGAATAAATAATATTTTCTTGCGCTAAATCTTCCCGTATTCTTAACTGCCAGTTTTGCCCATCCCATCTAAGTAACTGACTATAAGACACCATGTCCATTTTTACTCCTCTTTTTATTCCTTCTATCGCATGCCAAGGTATAGCCCATAATGGAACTTTAAAATCACTTTTATAATATTTTCTCCAAATCCTAAGTAAAGAAATTCTTAAAATATGAGATTTAAAGACCCAGTCCATTTTTTTATTAAATATTAAATAGGCATGCCACCCATAAAGTAAATCCCATCCCTCTAAATGAAGTATCTCAGGATTTGTCAAATTTACCCAATCACTGATTAGTGTTAAAACCACCGCATCGTAATATAATTTCAAATTTGGTACCTTAAGTCCACCCCTCTCACGGAAGTCTTGCATAATTTTAAACTTAACCCTTGGCTTTTTCCCTGCCCAAATAAATTTATTAAGACCCTTCTGCCACTCACTTAAATTAATCTCATTTTTCAAAATCGGTAACATTTGAAACAAAAAAAGAAACTTGGGTAGAATATTCATTTTTATCACTGCAATTCTTCCCATGAGGGATAATTGCAACTTCTCCCAATTCTTCAAGTCCTTCTGTACTCTGACCCACAACCTTTCATAATTATTTTTAAATAATTTTACATTAGAAACAGACAACATCACCCCCAAATATTTTACCTTATTAACAATCTCAAAACCCGTCAAGTTAGCCAAAATCTGCTTCTCCTGACTAGACATATTTTTAGGTAAAATTTTAGTCTTATTTACATTAATCTTGAAACCCGAAACCAAACCATAATGATGAATCAACTGTAATAAGTTTACTGCAGAATAATCAGGTTGCGACAAAGTAACAACCAAGTCATCCGCAAAAGCTCTCAACTTATATTCTTTTTTGTTAACTTCTATTCCTTTAATTTCCTGAGACTCTCGAATTTTGATCAATAATATTTCCAGTGTTAAAACAAACAACAATGGCGATAAAGGACACCCCTGTCTAGTACCTTTCTCTATTGTAAAAACCTCCGACAAACCTCCATTAACGATAAGTTGTGCCGTTTGTTTTTGATATATTACCATAAGAGCTTGCAATATCTTTTCACCAAAATTCATCTCTTCCATTACTCTTAACATAAAATGCCAATTCAATTGATCAAAAGCTTTTTCAGCATCTAAAAATATCAGCCCTGCAGGAACTTGGTTGTTTTTATCTAAATATTCTAATAAATTAATAATTTGTCTGACATTATTTTTCATGTACCTTCCAGTTATGAACCCAGATTGATCTTTATGCACAAGGTGATGCACAACCCTCATAAGCCTATTTACTAAGATTTTTACAAATATCTTGTAATCCACATTTAAAAGAGATATAGGCCTATAATTTTTTGGTAAAGTAAGATCTTGATCCTCCTTTGGAATCAATGATATAAAAGCACTACGCCATGAAGGAGGAATCTCTAAACCCTGTAAGATACCATTAAAAAGATCATTTAATGGTTGGATCATCTCCTCCATTAAAGCTTTATAATAAACAGCTGTTAACCCATCCGTACCCGGTGCTTTCCCTAGTTTCAATTGTTGAATTGCTGAGGCAATTTCCTCCTTAGTAATTAAGCCATTAATTTCATGTTTCTGATCCTCAGTCAATTTAGGAAAACTTGCCTCAGCTAGATATTTATTTATATCTAGCAGTTGCACATTAGTAGATTTGTATAACTTTTGATAATAATCCAAAAAAGATTTTTTAATCAATTCCTTCTGAGAAACTAATTTACCCTTGTAATTTATTTTCTCTATTATTCTCTGTCTCTGTTTCTTTCTTAATTGATAAGCCAACCATCTCCCAGGCTTATTAGCATTACAAAATGTATTTTGTTTCATAAACAATAAATTGGTTGCCGCTTGATCTGCTATCAACATATTAAATTGTGACCTTAGTAACTTTACAGATTCTTTAATACTTTCATCAGAAGGATTTAGAATCAAGGCCCTTTCTTTTAATTTAATTTCATCTTCAAGTTCTCTACGTTTCTGCAACTGCTTCCGCTTATGACAATTATTCATTTTTATCAAAACACCACGCATAAATGCTTTACCTGCATCCCATACCATTGACATTGAAGTCCCCTTATACATGTTCAAAGCAAAATAGTCCTTTAAACACTCCTTTAACTTTTGAACATTCTTCTCTTGTCTGAACAAATTTTCATTAACTCTCCAGGATCTCCTTTCCTCTTTCTCTTGAGTCAGCTCCATCCAAACTGGGCTATGATCCGTCAGTGATCTAGGAAAAATCTTTACATTCTTTACTTTATTATACAAATCCGTAGTAATCAAAAAAAAGTCAATTCTTGAAAAAGATTGGTGTCTATCAGAAAAAAAAGTGAAATCTCTCTCCTCTTGATTACATTCCCGCCAATAATCCCTTAATTCCCAGTCTTCCTTCATATCAAAAAAAGCTTTAGGTAACCTTGCTTGTTTAAGAAAAGGAGAGGAACCTTTCTTGTCCCTTTGTATATCTAAGACACCATTCCAATCACCCATTAATACCACTGATCTATAGTCAAGCAATGTTATTTTTTGATGTAACTGCTTATAAAATTGTTCCTGTTGTTGATTTGGAGCATAAAGTCCCACTATAAGTACTTTCTTACCATATATACCAAGTTCAATCATCACATATCTCCCCTGGGGATCTGATTCTACCAGACAAGCTGGTAGGTTTTGTTTAACATATATAACAACTCCCCCTTTCTTCCCAGGAGCAGAAGATATAAAATGAGATCCCAAACGAGCATTGACTAAATATTTCTGATCTTTAAGTAAAATATGAGTTTCCTGTAAGCAAATAACATCATTGGTATGTTGCTTCAAATAATAAAAGATTTTTTTCCGTTTCTGAGGAGAATTCAATCCATTAACATTCCAGGTCAAAAACTTTGCCATCTCCCTTGGCACGCAGCCTGGAGAAGACACCATCAAGATCTGAAAGAGCTGCATGTGTTGCATAACTCTTGGGTCTTGCTCCTCCCACCGGCGATGATGCACTTCCAGAAGAATTCTCTTTAGGCTCTTTTTTACGTTGCTCCTTCTCTTTACGCTTATAAGCTGCACGAGTCATCCTCTGCTCTTTAACCTCCATCTGGCGTTGCCTTTCAGCTTGTATCATCCCAGCGGAAACCAAACCTAATGCCTCAGATTGCTGCTCGACTTCCTTGCCGCTCGGAGATTTCTGACCAGATGAAGTTGAGCCTGCACCCAGGACCGAAGTATAAAACTCTCTAGCTTTGTCAACTGTATTCAATCTGTAGCGTGTCCCCGCATGGCTCAAAACAATACCCATCGGAATTTCCCATCTAAATGGCATCAATCTAGCTTTGAGCTCATTAGTTAAAAAAGCGAAGTCTTTCCTGCTTCTTAAAATTTTGGATGGGATTTCCTTTAGAATGATAACATCTTGGCAGCAATCTGAAATCTTTTGTTGTAAAAGGCTTGTATAATCTCATTCCGCAGGGACTTCTTTGTAAAATAAATCACCACATCTCTAGGCAAATTCTTCTGCTTAGCAATCCAGGAGTTAAGTCTATAAATTTTTTCCACTTCTCTATGTAATTCTCCTTTATCCATATCCAAGGCGACTGCCAGATCAGTAAGGACCACCTCCACCAAATCTTGATTCATATCTTCCTTGAGGCCTCTAATCCTCAGGGCATACTCCATCTGTCTGTACTGAAACATCAAAATATCTTCTTGTGAGGACTCCACCTTCCTTTCCACATCTTGAATTTTATCATCAAAGGAATCAACTTTGTTTTCCACTTCCTCAAGCCTTGCATCGAGCTTAACCACCACAGTAGCCAAGCCTGAAACTGCTGCAAGTATATCTCGTGTCGTAAATCATTATTATTTTCTTGCAATTTAGTCTTTATCCCCGTTATCTCTTCTTTAAGATCAGATTTAATTTCTGATTTAATCTGTGAGGCAAATTGCTTCATTTCCTCTCTCATTTGAACTACAATCTCTCCCATTATGCCTCTGACCTCTTGTGCTGAAAGTCCAGGCAGAGGGGGGGAGGGTGGTGGCTGAGCCGGTGGTACATGTTTAGATTGTTGTTGTAATTGTGCAGTGGAAGTTATAGGAGAAGAAACAACCTTAGGTATTGAAGCAGGCTGCTGTCTCTTTGAAGCCATTTTAAAAAGCGCAGTTCTCACTTCCCTTTCCCCTCCACACAAGAAGGGAGGAGGAAAGAAAAAGAAAAAGAATTTAAAAAGAGACAAACTATAGTCCTTGAAAATCCAGAGAAAATCCAAAGAATAAAAGATAAAAGAGCAAACAATTCAAAAGAAAAAATTCTAAGCCAAAAGCAAAAGCAAAAGCCAGTCCTTAAAAAGGGAAAGTAAAACAAAAGGGAAAGGAAAAAAAACTCCGACACTTTCAAAACGCCATCTTAAATCCTTTCACTAATATAACAAAGAAAAGGAGGAAAAATAGTAAAAATCAAATAATAAAAAAAATAAACACCTAAAGTATATAACAAAAATCCTTTAAACTGCTCCGTCCGTTTAAAAATTACTCACCAAAATACTATAAACACGGAGATAGAAGCGGCGGTTTCTTTTGCTTCCTAGGAAGCAAAAACAGCTGGGAGGCGGAGATCAGCAGGAGCTCCGAGGGAACACTCCTTTCACCCCCCCTAGAAATAAATCCAGAGGGGGTTTAGGGGTTCTACCTCTATTCCTGTGTTCTCTGTCCCTTCCCTTTGCCCGGGAAGGGAATTCCGAGCCGCGGGCCAGCTGATGCGCGCTGTGCTCCGCGGCTCTGACACTTCCCCAGCTGGACGGCTAAAAGATAGCCGCCATCGCCGTCGCCTCGTACCGGAAGCTTCCTTCTTGCAGACATTTCATTACCAAACTAGGTAACATCATCAGTACTAGAGGGTGCTCTCTGCTTATATTCTAGTGGCTTGCCCTATCGGTGTTTGTGGGAATGTTTTTGGTAGTTCCTTGATTAGGCTGTTAGTTTGTTTTTCTGAATTTGGGGTGAATTTGTCCATGATTGGGGTATTGTTTACTTCTTGGTTGTTGGTCTAATATTAATCTTGCTGTTAATTTGAGTATTGATTGCTGATGGGGAAATGTTTTGATATTTTTGTTTCCTTTTTGGCTTTTTGATTGTCTCTTCGGAATGGTATGTAGCTATTGTTGAGCTCTATGTGCCTGTTGCGCACAAATGTGATAAATCAGTAATCAACAGGCATGTATTTATAAGGATTGCAATGTCCTGGGATCATTTGATTTGTGACCTTCCTAATCAACAAGCAAGATCATTGGGGGAAGATTTGCTTAATGACTGCATGATTCATTTAATAACTTTGGTAATTTGCCTAACAACTCTGGCAAAAAAAGTTATAAAATCAGGCACAACTCAACAACCAACTTACTTAGCAATGGAAATTTTGGTCTCAATTGTGGTCATAAGTAAAGGACTCCTGGAAAAACAATAGTGCTCAATACAAAGGTTACTGCAAGTGTGTGTTGATTTTAGGGAGGTTTAGGGAAATCAGACTCTGTCTTCCTCATGTATTTTACAATTATGGGTGGAATGCAAAATATATGCATGGGGAAAGCCCAATCTTGTTACTGGTATGCAGTGTCATTGCAATTCTGCATTGATTATTGCTTTGACCTATTCAACTGGAAATAGGCCATTTTTTTCTTTTCATTTATAAAATTTGGGATGATACAGTAGATTTCCTTGTGCAGAGTGAAATAAGTTTGCAGGGAGTGCTAGAACGATCCCAGATCACTTTTCTATTGTTCAGTTATATAGTAAAAATATATGCAGGAGCATTATCTCTAATGCTTGAGATAAATAAGATGTGATATAATATGAATCATTAAAATGTCCCTTCAAACAAATGTGTCATATTTATACACGTTTCAGGTAATTCTCTAAGCCCTACAAAATTCATGAATGAGTAAGACATTAATTGGATTTAAATATCACACTAAGATTATGAGCCATGGTGCCACAGTGTTAGAATGCAGTACTGCAGGCTAACTCACTGCTCACTCTAGGACACAGATCGGCAACCTGCGGCTCCGGAGCCGCATGCGGCTCTTTGAGCCTTTCCCTGTGGCTCCCAGCCTCCTGTGCCTTTGCAGAGAGAGACAGAGACAGAGAGAGGCAATTGCGCTTCCCTGCCTCTCTCTCTCTGTGTGTGTGTTTGTGTGTGTGTGCGCGCGCGTGTGTGTGTGTGTGTGTGTAAAAGAGAGTGCACTCACAGTGTTCTCCGAGGAGCTGAAAAGCTTCCTGGGCGGAGCTCCTCCCTTTGCTGCATCTCTGCAGGAAGCAGGAAGCAGGAAGGGCAGGAGAGAGCTAGCTAGCCTAGCTAGGCTGACTCAGGAATTCTGGGAGTTGAAGTCCATGAGTCATAAAAGAGACGAGGTTGCTTACTCCTGAGCTTGTTGGACAACAGCTTGAAGCTTGCCAGGTGAGCAGCAGATAGGAGGGGGGGAAAGAAAGAGAGAGAGAGAAAGAGAGAGGGAGGAGGAGAGAGAGAGAGAGAGGAAAGAGAGAGGGGGGGAAGAGAGAGAGAAAGAAAGAGAGTGGGGGAAGAGGAGTGGCAGACCAAGGGCAGATAGGGAGGGAGGGAGAGAGACAGAGAGAGACCCTTTTGACATCTAAAATGAAGATAACACTGCATATATCCTTTTTTTACCTGTGTGTGTATGTAATTTTATTCTCTTAAAGCATTCTCTTGGTGATCATTGTTTTAATAGTATGGATATTCCCAAGAGTCATATTTTTACTTTTATTTTTAATGTGTGTGTATACACACACACACACACACACACACACACACACCTATAATAAAGGTAAAAAAAGGATATATGCAGTGTTATCTTCATTTTAGATATCAAAAGGGTTTTGCGGCTCCCGGTGTTTTGTTTTGGTGGGAAACGGGTCCAAGTGGCTCTTTGAGTGTTTTGGGTTGCCTACCCCTGCTCTAGGAGCTTGATTCTGAATGGCTCACAGTGGACTCAGCCTTCCATCCTTCTGAGGTCGGTAAAATGAGGACCCAGATTGTTGGGGGAAATATGCTAATTCTGAAAACCATAAACCGCTTAGAGAGGACTATGTAAATACTGTGAAGCAGTATATAAATCTAAGTGCTATTGCTACTGCTATTGGTAAGATGTGAAAACCGGCCATTTTGCTTTATAAGAATGATTAATTGCTTAGCATTATATGTAAACAGAACAAATGGTTTCTCTGTGAAACCATAGCTTAAAAATCTGGAAATACAACCTAGGAACCAGCCAATAAAATACAAATAATTGTTTTGTTTTTTTGTTTTGCCTCTACCCTAGATTTGGGATGCTGAAACGTGCGGCAAGATAATGGACATTCCAGAAGATTTTCGGGGTCACTCACAGGTTGAAGAACTATTTCTCATTATTCCCAAAACTCAGACAAAGCCAACATTCCCCAAAGTCTTGTGTCCTCCAGAAGTGGTGGACCATTTCCCATAAACTCTAGCCAGTATGGAGAAGGGTGAAATTAACCCATCATACATTTTTCAATAGGGCGCCTTCCTGAAAATAGCTATTCAACCACCACACTTATAAGATGCATGGAACCCCCTTCTCTTATGTTCTCACTGCAAAATGCACTTGGATTTTAATTATTTCCACCTTAAACCTCTCCAGCCCTGTGATCTGACACCATCCCCTTTCTTCAAGAAGATTGCTTTGGCTCAGTCTGCTCTCATAGCCCATTTCCTGTTTGGAGGGAACTGCCCTCTTATCTTTTCTCCCAGGTTTTTTTGGACTTCAGCAGCCCTTGTAGCTCTTGTAATGGGAATAGTGGGTTGATGGCTTTCCATCCTTACCTTATTTTCCTGGAGAAATGAGCAAAGATAAATTGACACTGTCTAATCATTTTTTTTTCTTCCACTGACAAACCAACCAACCAGAAAGCTGTTTTATTATTGTAGTGTGCGCAACAATGTGAAATCACAGCTACCAGCTCTTTTGCTGGTTTTGGCTGCTTACACAGTGAGTTCTTCCCAAAAACCCAGAACATTGCAATGTATCGATATAGTATATATGTGGCTCCAAGCAGTATGGCCCTTTTGCAACTGACAGATGGAAAAATTGCCAATGCGCAGATTTTCTAAGTGCCATCCAAGATTTTTGGGTATGGCACCCAGTGTGCCGATAACCACTGGGATCACCACAAACGTTTTATACCATAATCTTTCAATTGAGTCTGGTAGACTTGGTGTGGGACCATGTTTTCTGCTGTTGGTTCTTGGTCCTGCAATATCAAGGGGGTTGAAGGTATCTGCAAGAAAATTATTTGCAAAGTTTGGGGAATAAAAATGAGAATGCCTCCATTTTATTTGCTGTTATTTCCACAACTATGGTGTCTCTGTCTGTAGCCCCATCGTGTAGTCTTGTTCACTTATTTAGATTGTGTATCTTAATGTGATTTTAACGGTGTCCATTTGCCAACTGAGAGCTGATCATTCTTGGCAAAAAAAGTGATAATTTCTTTAGGGTCCCTTTTTGGTTGGGCTAATGAAGGCAACTTCTCTTGCTTTTCCCCCCAGCTATATACTTGCCACTTCCTTGGCACTGACTACATCATAGCTGGTGGGAGTCGGAACAACCTGTGTCGACTCATTGATAGAAGAATTCTGATGGTAAGGTAGCTTTACTGACTCTTTCAGGAAAGGGTTGGGTTTGTAGTAGGACAGGTGTTTTGCATCCCACATTAAGTCTCCAGGAACCTGAGGGCCACACAACATGGACTTTGTAGTATTGTTATACTTGTTAACTAATAAAGTTATTTTGTATTTTAATTTGATTTATTTTCCTCTCCTTTAAATGGTGACAAATGGTTTATCAAACCATTACAGCCTGGAATGTAGGAAAAGTTTTTATTCTATTGTTGTATGGATAGATTGATAGCTTCTAACATTCCTAAACTGAAAAGATAAGTTCCCCAGGTCAGGATCATGTTTGATTTAATAGGATGTCTGGATGTGTTAATGCTAATTGGTATCTGGTTTGTCTCTTCATGAACTCCTAACAATCTTTTTCCTCATTAATATCTTAAATTTTATGCCCCTTCTATCTTCAGATCTCATTTAAATGGACATACATGTAACATGTTTGAGTACATGTAGCTGATTTACTGTTGTTGGCAGAAAAAATCAGTTCCAAGCCAGGAGTAAGATGCTGGAAATAAAATGGAGGCTGCTTAGGAAAAAAGGTTCTTGTTTATTGATGAGCAGAACCAGCAACAACATGAAGTTCAAAATATTAGAGACAACAAGAGGGAATGGCCACCATGTTTATGCAAAGTTGAAAAAAAATACAAAGCTAGATGGATTTATGGGGCAAGGGGGTCAACTTTTGATATCTTGAATGCTCCAACACTGGAAGTTTTTAAGAAGAGGCTGGACAGCCATTTGTCCGAAATGGTGTAGGGTTCCTGCCTGAGCAGGGGTTGGACTCGATGACCTCCAAGGTCCCTTCCAACTTCTTCTTCTTCTCTTTCTCCTCCTCCTCCTCCTCCTCCTCCTCCTCCTCCTCCTCCTCCTCCTCCTCCTTCTTCTTCTTCTTCTTTTTCTTCTTCTCCTTCTTCTTCTCCTTCTTCTTCTTCTTCTTCCTATTATTATTATTATGGGTCATTGCACAGTCAGCCAGATGTTCAGACTGGATTTGGCATTTTGTCTACCTATCGAGTCCTTACCCAGGACCTGGGATAGGCAGATGTGGATGTTTGATAGTATTACAGGTATCGTCGCAGGATGGAAGCAGTTCCTAGTAAGGCCGCCTTTTGCAATTGACTAAAGGCGAATTTGTCAATGCCAATGGTGTTCAAGTGGTGCTCCAGTTGTTTTGGGATTGCACCCAAGGCGCCTATGACTATTGGTACTACCCTTGCTTGCTTTTGCCACAGTCTTTCTATTTCTATTTGTAGGTCTTTGTATTTTGTTATCTTCTCCAGTTCTTTCTCGTCTATTCTGCTGTCTCCAGGCACTGCCACGTCCACTATCCAGACTTTTTTTTGTCTTTCTTATCGACAATTGTTAAGTCTGAGGTGTTATGTTGCAGGTGCTTGTCTGTTTGAATTCTGAAGTCCCAGAGCAGTTTAATTTTATCATTTTCTATGACTTTCTCTATTTTATGATCCCACCAGTTTTTGCTTACAGGCAAATGATATTTTTTGCAGATATTCCAATGCACCATTGTTGCTACTTTGTCATGCCGCTGCTTGTAGTCAGTCTGTGCAATCTTCTTGCAACAGCTTACCAGGTGGTCCACTGTTTCTTCAGCTTCTTTGCATAGGCGGCACTTACGGTCTGTTGCTGTCTTCTCAATTTTGACTTTATATGCATTTGTCCTTAAGGCTTGGTCTTGTGCAGCAGAATTAGTCCCTCGGTCTCTTTCTTCAATTTTCCTGCTCTTAGCCATTGCCAGGTCTTGTTATTATCTGCTTTCCCAGCTATTTTTTTAATGTATTGGCCATGTAGTGCTTTGTCTTTCCATGCCTCTATTCTGTTCTTCATTTGGTCTTTCTTGTAGGCCAGTTTGGTCTCTCAGTAGTTAGTAAGCCCTTCCTGAATACTTAATTTCAGTGCTCTCATCATTGTTCTTCAGATATTCTTCCAAAGCCATTTTTTCTTTCTTCAACCATCTGATGTACTTGTAGCATTCCACGCCCACCTATTTGCCTTGGTAGATAAAGTCTATCAATGTCACTGCGTGGATGAAGGGCATGATTCATTGTCATTATTTTTCTGGTCTGCCTATCCATTGCTTTTATTCTGCTTGAGTCCAGTCCACTATTCCAGCTGTGTACCTAATGACTGGGATTGCCCAGGTGTTGATTGCCTTTATGGTATTTCCTCCATTGAGTTTGGACTTTAAGATCTTCTTCACTCTCTTGATGTATTCACCTCTAATCTTTTTCTTGACTTCAGTGTGCTTGATGTTGTCAGCTTGAAGGATACCCAAGTATTTGTAGTACTCTTCCTCATCCAGACTCTTAATGTTATTTTCGTGGGGCATCTTGATTCCTTCAGTTTTCATTATTTTTCCTTGTTTGATAGTAAGTGTGGCACATTTGTCCAAGCCAAACTCCATTACAATATCTTGGCTATATATACGGACAGTGTTGAGCAGCGATTCTATTTCAGATGATGTTTTTCCATACAGCTTCAGATCATCCATGTAAAGGAGGTGGGATAGTCTAGCAGATGTTTTTGATGTTTGATAGCCATGTCCTGAGTTATTCAGTATTGTTGACAGAGGAAACAGTGCAATAACAAATAGTACTGGTGATAATGAATCTCCTTGAAATATTCCTCTCTTGATATTAACCTCTCCCAGCTTCTCACCATTGATTTGCAACTGTGTCTTCCATTGTGCCATCGATCTTTGCACAAATTTTCTGATGTTTCTACTGACTCCTGTTATTTCTAGGCACTTTATTATCCAATCATGTGGCAGAGAGTCAAATGCCTTTTTGTAGTCAATCCATGCCACATTCAGGTTGGTCTTCCTTCTCTTGCAGTTTTCCAAGATCATTTTTGTCTATTAGGAGTTGATCTTTTGTTCCTCTGCTATTGGGGCGGTTTCCTTTCTGCTCAGGTGGAAAGAGATTGTTTTCAACTAAATGCTGTTGTACTGCATCAGCTACCACACCAGTTAGTAATTTGAAAGTTGTTGGTAAACAGGTAATTGGCCTGTAGTTGCCTGGTGTTGCCCCTTTTGCTGGATTTTTCATTATTAGATAGGTTTTCCCAGTTGTTAGCCACTTTTCAATTTCTCCTCCTTGTAGTATATTGTTGAACTGCTTGGCAATGAGTGGGTGTATAACAGTTAGATGTTTCAACCAAAACCCATGCAGTTCATCTTCACCTGGTGCTGACCAATTTTTGATTTTCTTTGCTCTTTTTTCTACCATTTTTGTTGTTATTACTAGTTCTTTCATTGTCAACTTCTGTTTTATTTGCATCCACCTCTTTTAACCAAGCCGCATCCTTGTTGTATTTCTTTGGGTTATCCCATATCTGCTTCCAGAACTGCACTTTTTCTTCCTTGTCAGGTACTGACTGATTCCTTGCAGTTTCTCCATTGATGGATTGGTAGAAACGTTTCTGATTGGATTGAAATTGGAGGTTCTGCCTATAGTTTGCAATTCGAGCTTCATATCTACTGATTTTCCTGGCTATAGCTGTTATCTGTTGCTTTATTATTTCCAGTGCTTCCTTGATCTTCCTTGTTTCTAAGTGGTATTTCTTGATTAGGTATTCTTTGGTCTTCTTGTTCTTCAGCTTCTTTTCTTTCATCTGTTCTAGCTTGCTTGCATGTGATCTTAACTTGCTGATCTTATTTTCTAGTCTAACCTTCCATTTTTCTGGTGCACTGTTTGTTTGTTTTTCTTCTTTGTTGATTTTGCATCCCAGGTATTCTGTTATAACTGCAGCTGTGCTGTACATTAGTTGGTTTGTTTCTTGCAATGAATTGGTGCTTATACTTGATATTGCAATATTTGCATCTTTTAATGCTTGTGCTAGCTGTTTCTTTGGAACAAGCTTCAATGCAGGTAGCCTTATTCTGTTGTTTTTGTGCTGTTCTAGATGCTCAGTTATTCTTTGTTTCAATTCTTTTATTTCTTTAGTTAGAGGGTTTTGTTCTTCCTGAGGTAGAGGTGCCTGGTTTCCAAATGAGAACAGTTGTATATCTCTGCTGGATTCCTTCACTGCCAACTCCCCCTGGTTTGCCTCTACATTCTGAATTACTTCTGGTAAGGCTTTGATTTCTTTGCCCTGGGTAAACCTTTGCAGTTCATCCAATTCTGTTTCTGTGAATACTTTATTTCGTGTTATAAATCGGCGTTGATCTGCTAGTCTCTGTTCTGTTATTTCTGATTCTGGATGTTGTTCTTTCCAGAACTGGTGCATTCGTTTTAGATATCCTCTTCTTGTTGGACTCGATCTGTAGTAACAGATCATTATTTCTTTGTTTTCCATCACTGTGTTTCTACGACGGGTAAACACCTTTTCTTCCAATAGTTCTGCAGCTGCTGGCCCTGGTTGCTCAGCCAACAGTCCTGAGTCCTATAACCCATTTTTCACCAGATATTCAGGAACTCCAATATCTAGCGCGGACCTTGTTAACCCGGGCGACGTCCGAGCCGGTATGGCATTCTACAATTTACGTCTCATCATATTTTTTATGGGAGAGACACTCTTTGTCTGACTCCTCTGATGAGATCTGTCCAGTATGGTTGAACCTCTAGCATAGCTCTCATCTTCCTCAGAGTACACAAGCCCCACAACCACGTCAAGGTAGTGTCTCACTGGGGGTTGTTGTTGTTGTTGTTGTTATTATTATTATTATTATTATTATTATTATTATTATTATTATTATTGAAGGGTTAGTCTGCAAGGGAGGATAGGATGAAAGGGAAGAAGAATATATTAATCCTGTGTTTTTTTGAGCTTGGCAACTTTAAGATGTGTGGACTTCAATTCCCAGACTTCCCTAACCAGCATGCAGGCTGGGGAATTCTGGGAGCTGAAGTCCACACATCTTAAAAATTGCCAAGCCTGCAAAACAGTTGATTAAAGCCTCTTTTAATCTCAATTTTCTTCTTTTTTCCAGAGCACAGGGGCACTTAATGACCTGCCTGGAGGTGTTTATAGTACCCACATCAGCTACCGTGGAGTCCTAGCTGCAACTTCCAACAACTTCCTGTATCTTGCACAGACTCCAGTAAAACCTTGAAACCCTCCTGTGTGATTGCAAGGAACTCTTGCTACCATCTGAAGAATATCACCAATGCCTTGGATCATCATGACTCTTACCAACCTTTCCTAGTATCCCAGATGTCTGTCAAAATCATGCATAAAGTCACCCTGAAGTGCCTGCCATCTCCCCATCATCTTCGGCTTCTCTGTGGACAAATAGAATCATGGTCTGTCTCTAGAGACTCCTGCTTGATTGGATATGCCCCATTTCATCATGCTCTGCTGATGTCAATCCTTTTTCAGCATGATCCTCTGGAGATACTGTCCTGCTGGAATCATCTCATCATGGTTTGCTTCAATCATCTCATCATAGTTTGCTTCAATCAATCTCATCATGGTTTCTTTTTGTGGAGATGTTTTGTTCTGATCTTGTGCCAAATGCTATGGGACTCTCGTCGCATGCAATCTCCCATGCAAGAAATCTTAACTGTACAGCTTCTTGCCTGAGACTGTGACTAACTGGGTTATCCCCACAATTTTGCAGCTGATATCCCATCTGTTGCTGCTGCTGGCAATCCCAACATGCCTTGCTGCTCCAAACCTGTGCTTGACCAAGAAACCATCCTAGACTTCAATCCCAGATTGCAGAGAATTCCATCATCCTCTAAACAGCTTTCTAATCAAACTGCTGGAGGGGAAGAGGCGTCCAGTATTTCTGCCTTAAGTTTCCATCCTGCCTGGGGGGGTTAAGCTTTCTAAGTCACTTCTTTCTCTCTTTTCATAGCCACCTCCGAAGGTGGCTGCCCTAAAAAAAACCTGCCTTGGTGCCAAATTAAAACATCTTGGCTGAGTCTTTGTGTGTATCTAATAATCCTGGGTGTCTGGGGAGGAGAATGGGATCTAGTTAAACAGGAATGCAACAAAGAGGAACTACGGTAAGGCTCCCAGATTCTTTGAAATGGTCAAGGATTTCATTCCGGGGAATTGTTTTTGCCACCAATCACAGGGCTAAGTCACTGAATTTGTGAAATGACACCATAGCAGAATAACAGAATTGGAAGGAACTTTAGAAGTCTTCTAATCCAACCTCATGCTCAAGGAGGAGATCCTATGCCATTCCAGACAAGTGGCTGCCAAGTCTCTTCTTAAAAGGCTCCAGTGATGAACACCCACCGTCTCTGAAGGCAAGCCGCTCCACTGGTTAATTGTTCTCAGTTTATAAAGCGGTACTAAGTACTTCGTGTGATCTTGATTCTATCCCTCTGTTAATGCAACCTGGGATTGTGTTGATTGTTTTGGCTGCTGCCACACACTGCTAGCTCATATTTAAGTGATTGTCCACTAGGACTCCAAGATCCCTCTCACAAATACTGCTAATCTGTAGGTTTCATCTGTACATTTGTTTTTTGTTGCCTAAGTATAAAACCCTATTTTTCTCTATGTTGAATTTCATTTTGTTAGATGGGGCACAGAGTGCGTATCCCTCACCAATGAGCAATCACAGCACTCATCGACAACCTTGGAGATTAGAGAGAAGGTTTTCCAGATCAAGGGAATTATCTGATGCTGAGAGAGAGAGAGAGAGGCCCTGGACTAAAACAGTCTCCTGCTTTCTAGTCCAGTACCTCAATAATCATATCAAACTGTCTGCTTTGCCAGTAGACGATCAAACTGATCCCTGTAGATCACTTTTCAATTGATGGAAGAGTTGATTTCCCTTCCAGGTGGAAATAACCCACACTCCAGAAATTCTTTTTAGCTTCAATATTAGTGAAATGCCAGTATACAGGAAGTCTGACTTACAGCTGTTTGTTTAACAACTCTTCGAAGTTATGACTGTTGAATTAAGATGATGGCCATCGCAACATCCCTGCAGTCACATAATTGTGGTTATTGCTCTGGGCAACTATTGTGTATTTATGATTATTATAGTGTCTTATGGTCATGTGATTGCCATTTTCAATCTTTCCAGCTGGCTTCTGACAAGCAAAGTCAATGGGAAAGCTGACAGGAGATTATGAGTCACAGTCACGTGATGTCTCATTTGACAATTGTGGGTGATTTGCTTAATGACTGAAATTGTGATATCTTGTTTAATGGCCACAGCAGAAAAGGCCTTAAAATCAGAGGCAGTCATATGATGTCTCACTTAACAGCCACATTGCTTAATGACAAATTTTTCCAGTCACTATTGTGTTTGTAAGTTGAGGACTATTTATATTACATTCATTGCACCATCCAAAAGCTCATAACCAGGCATTCAGGGAAGGCAGGCAATCTCTTAAAAGAGGCTTTATCTAGACTTCTAATCTTAAAACTGAGTTGGAATTCAGAAAATAGAGGAGAGAATCCATCCCACCCACTGCATCTCTAGCTACAGATCTGGAGTTCAAGAGTTTTTGGAGAACACCATTCATACAACAGAAGCGAGAAGAAGTGACTATTTGAGATCTGCTGGCATACTTTGCATGGTGCAAGTATTAGGCAACTTACGGCCACGTTTACTGTGCCATTTCATTCTCAGTTGAGTTGCATAGCAAAATAGTTTGGCAAGCTGGTTAAACAATGGTGGGGGGAGGAAGTATTAAAAAAGGGTGGCAGTGGTCCCATTTAAACATGATTTTGGAGGAAAACACGACTGGCAGAACAAACCAGAGAGCCCCCAAACCCAGCAGAGATAAACAATGGCATTAAAAAGGAGGCTGTATAAAAATCAGATTCAGAGTTTACCATTTCTTAACTGAGGCAGAAGTTGAATACTTTAAAATTGTTGCATTTTATAGCTTGGCTTTATAAAGAATTTTAGGATGCCCCAGTAAAGCCGCTGTTGTTTAGATTCAGGAACATAAAGCATTCTGGTTTTGAAGAGAAGAGGTGAACAATTTGTTCCTCATAGATCTTCCATGCTGGAAACTTCCTTTTTTTCTGTCCAACTCTTTCAAGCAGCTTTTTGCAGCAACTGTCCTGTCTCCTTTTGGCCCATTTACTGCTGCCTCAGCATTTTTCATGCCAGCCAATGCCCTGCCTATGCCAGAGTCCAAGCGAAATCAAAGTCCAGTGGTAAGCTCTGACAAGGGAGACCTTGCCAATGAACATTATTATGCAAGTTTATCAACCTCCACACAGCCTGGCTCAGATGTCCTGTAGCTTGGCCTCAGTTTTATAAGGCTTGACCTGCCACCTCTTTGGTCTGGTAAATAGCCTAGGGTTAAAGGGCCAGGTGCCCCCTTTAAATCTCAGGTAACCAAGTTGGATTGGAACTGATAAGAATTTGATCTCTGAATTTGGGAGAGAGACCTTAATTTTGCAAAGTGGATTTTTTGTGCCTTCCACCTCCTGCTAGTCTAAATCACAAGAACTTCAGGGTGTGTGTGTGTGTGTGTGTCAAGTGTTAACATGGCATACAGAAACAAATGATTTGTACATATATGTTGTGGGAAGTCAGAGCCCTCCAGAGAAGGAAATATTAAAAGGGCAGAAAAATATATTTTTCCTCAAAAGGATTTTTAAAAGCAGAAGCCCACTCTGCCCCCAAATCTCTCTATCCCAAACAGGAGCCAGCCCTATACAAATGCAAATGTAACCATCAGAAAGTTGGAGCCAGAAAACTCAAGAAGACAAAGAGTCCTAAAATCTGCATATCCCACTTGAGATGGGACATAATAGGACTAACCCATTACCATCAAGTATACCAGAGAGGCACACCTAAACTCAGGTCAGAATACATGACACAGGAAATAGCCTCAAAGTTCATGTCACAGGAACAGGAAACTATTCCAAACAAAAGGCTAGAGAAGATATAAAAACCTGCTGCTCATGTGCTCAGGTCCTTTTTTTTCCTCTGCTCTTTCCTGCAAGAACCATCTTTCTGCCTCTTCAATAAACTGTAACCATCTTCCCAAAGCAGTCGCCACGTTGCTTATTTATTCCCGGCTTGGATGAACCAGGATGAAGACTTTACTTCCAACAATGTGATGCATCAGAAAACAACAATAAAAGACATTGATCAGATGCAGGAAAAGAGAGAACACCCTTAAAATAGGTTGGATCTTCCCCTTTCCCATCTAAGCTTGTTTCTTGCCAACACTCCAGGACTCCAAAATTGTTGGAGTTCATGAACTCCCTGTTGTTTAGTTCATGAACAGGCTAGTCTTTGCACATTAAAAAAAAGAGGTTTTGGAGAGCCCATTTGGTCTCTAGGCAGCAGGCTAGAAAATGGGAGAGTGTGAGTTCTTTGTCTCTCCTTAGGTATGAAAAACATCTGGGTGATTTTGGGCCAATCTCTCTATCTCAACCCAACTCACTTCACAGGATTGGTACTGTGGGGAAAATGGGGGTAGAAAGGAGAATTAGATATATTCACTGCCTTGAGTTATTTATTATACAAATATCAGCTTTATTAAAAAGCTAATAATGAAGCCTAAAATTCCAGTATGTAATTCTTGGAGATAAACTTCATTCAGTTGAAGAATAATATAATCTATTTTGGAAGTAAAAAGTAATAGCAGAAGCAACTAAGTTATGTCCAGCCAGCTACTCACCATTAAAAAATAGAAGAATAGGAATAGGAATAGAATAGAATAGAATATTTTTTATTGGTTAAGTGAGATTGCACACACAAAGAATTTGTCTCCGGTGCATAAGCTCTCACTGTACATACAAACAACAAAGTGATAGGTCATAGATCATGTATCATATTACAATCATTAATCGTAAGTTATAACAAATGATAAATCATAGATACCAATAAGAGAAGGTGGTAGGAAAGATGAGAAGATGAGAAGGATAATATCAGTACAGCCCTACTACATGGGTAGACATAAGACAGTGCTGTGAGAATTAAGTGTTTAGCAGAGTAACAGGAGAAAAAACTATCTTTGTGTCTAATTGCTTTGGAATGCAATACTCTACGGCGGCATCCGAAGGGGAGAAGTTGAAACATTTTATGTCCAGGATGTGAGAAGTCCATAGATATTTTCTGAGCCCTCTCTGGTTCATGCAGTGTACAGATGTACAGTGCAAAGATATATATTTACAATAGTTTTTTTTTAAAGAGTATCGCTGGCATTCTCAGTTCAGAATAGAAATGCATACTGAACTTGTTTGCTGCCGATACTAGTGTAGACCATTCAGAGCCATGGATTTTGGTACTGGGACCCACCTTAGTTGCATCACTGACTGCAGTTGCTTAGTTATGATCCACTTTATGAAAGATCTCTATAATAGAGATGTTCTGTTATCTTGAAAGGGAGGAAGGCTTCATCCCAAAGCTTCTCCAATCACAGTTAATCCCTGGGTTGCATGGAAGTTGAGCCAGGATTGCCATTGCTAAGCAATGCAACTGTAAAGTGCATTGTCACATGATTGCATCCCTTAGTGATCACAGTCCTGATGGCCATTGTAACCCCAAGAAGTGTTGGTTGTTAAGTAGGAAGTGGCAGAAGTCCTAGGTAAGGAACATAGGAATGAGGGAGGCCAGGGGAGGCACTGGAAGGGCTGGTAAAGGCCGCATGTGAGTTGGGGGAAGTCAGGGCAGTGCTTGGGAGGCCTGATGCAGGCTGCACATAAGCACAGGAAAGCCAAAGGATGGGTGCTGCCATGAGGTGCAAAAGCAGGCAGGCCAGGGAGACTTAACAGAGTGATTTGCAACTTGCCCTGCTGACTTCAACGTTGACTTTGCTTATGGGAAGCTGAGGGGAAAGGTCACACATGGCAATCACCTGACCACAAGACACTGCAATTGTTGTTAAGTGCAAGCCAGTTGTTAAGCACTCAAATAGCAAATCACAGAACTGTGAGGTTGCAGCAAACTGACCAGAACTCTAAGGACTGGTCCTAAGTATCATTCATTCAGCACCATTGCAATTTTGGTTGCTCAGCATGTGATTGGTAAGCGAGAACTACCTGCATAAGAATCTGGTATTACAGCCACTGCTGGGAAAGACTGCAGCCTAGGACATAGTCAGAAACTCACCACTGTAAGAAATAAGGCTGCTTTGACAAAAGAATCTAACTTTTGTCTGTATAAAAAAAGGTGCATAATCCTATTAATTTAATGGTCCTTTTTCTGTCCATGGATGAATAACACATTCATACTTGGATCTTCTGCACAAGTGAGGTTTTTGCACAAAGTCTGTGCTTTTGCATCACATTACATTCATGTAATCATGTATTTATCCTGCATTTCAGACAAATACTGCCTCCATCATTTCAACAGAAAACCAGCTCAATCTTCTATGAACAGCGATTTGCCTTGCATGGAGGGACTCTGTGATTCTTCCACCGCTGATGAGAATTTAAGTAAGCCTAGGAATTATTTTGCACCCAGTGACTCAGCTTAGCTATAGAATATGTGAAATAATAAAGAGCTGTTTCCAGAAATATA